ATCCTTCTTCTTCTCGTTAGTGTCCACATGAATGCCAGCATACTAGGACAAGTGATTGAACTTATTAATATAATCCATCACTGTCATACTCCCCTGGCGTAGCTCCAAGAACTTAGTTAGCTTCCGATTGATGACACCGGTAGAAATATAGAACTCTATGAACGTTGTGGTGAACTCCTGCCAGGTTGTCGGATGATCTGCCTGCTGCATGGCATGGAAGGTATCCCACCATGCACTTACGGACCCTAATAGTTGATGCGCTGCAAAGCGCACTTTCTACTCATCGGCCACGTTGAGCAATAGAAACTTCTGCTCCAGAATGCGAAGCCAGTGCTCCGCATCTAGGGGCTCATCTGTCGGTGTGAAAGTGGGCGGGTGGGTCTTGAGGAAATCCTGGTAAGAGGAGGGTCTCTCAGGACGACGGGACCACCCCCATTCCCACCATTGCCCCTGTGGCCTCCGCGGGCGAAGCCAGCGACAGCTTGTGCCATTATCTCCATGACACAGGCTGACTCTCAATGAGCAGCCAATAGTTCTGCCATCATCTCAGCGTGAGTCATCAGAGACGACGGTGGTAGAGGAGGAGCCAGAAGTGGAGGCCTATGGCTCTCCCCGTTGTGCTCATGGGCCTGGCCACTCTCGCCTTGGCCCTCGCCAAGACCGTGAGTTGCACCAGCACTGGTGCTCCCATATTCGGACCTTAGATTCATCTATATGAGGTAGGAACCATCCATTTAGAACAATCTTCCCGATCAGAAGCAAGGGATTAGAAAAATAATAGCATATTTAATTAAAGATTCTTTTAATTAATCCTATCGCTTTACTAATCCAATTATACGTGTAGGGGGGATTTTAGTTTAAGCAAAATGTTATTATCATGATGCATGTATCGTCCTATACGTTCACTCAAGCCAGAATATAGCGGTATTCGTAAAATTTTTGGCACATCGCACACTCACTTTTCGTATACTAAGTGATTCTTACGCAACGTAAGTCAGTGTACCTGCAGAAAACTGATTAGATAAAACCAGTGCCGCTATCCTAGATAGACCATATTGCTAGGGCTTATACTTATTTCACTAACTTAATCGCATCCTACTTTTCACAAAACTTTTGTTGGTCAAATTTTTAAGTTTTGAAAAAGAGTGATGAAACTCGTAACCATTATTGGCTCTGATACCAACTGTGACAGAACCGCCCGAAATAGCACACTTACGGAGGTGCTCGTCTTCCACCAGACACTAAGCACCCCGAAAGCAAGCTACAACGGCGGTATCCGTCGGGCACACCACCTGGGAGAACCCGAAAGATCCACATTTTTCCCAAGCATCCAATAATGAGAACGAGTTACAATATAGGTCCATTTCATACATCATAGTTTCTTAAAAATTACATTATTATATTACCAAATGTTAGAGTGCGGAATGATAAACAACGGAATTTAAAATAAACATCTATCGATAAGAACGAGGATCCATCTGAGCCCACCAGAAGAATCCTCCACACAAAGGTACTTCTCATGCATCACCTGCAACAGGGGTAAATAAACCATGAGTATACAATGTACTCACAAGACTTATCTGACTAGTGGAAATAATTTCCCGACTCAAAGAAATATGATAAGCTTCATGATTTGCTGGTTTTCTTTTAGCAGAAAGCAATACTAATAGTGAGTCATTATTTATGTTATTATTATTAGCCGTATTAAGTTATTATCTATCCAGTCTATATAAGAACCTATTCTATTTTCAAGCAAGAGTTGATCAATCAGTTCCATTTCTTCTTCTTTCAACTTTCAGTTCTTACTACGATGCTAGAGGTAAGACAAGTCGTACCGACTCGACGGCGATTCGCGAACCAATGTGCCTAGCTGGGTGCCCCGAAAACACACGCCCCGCTTGTACCCTAGGCACAAGTAGGACTAATCCATCACCCTCCTGTCCTAGGTGTCCATGTCCCCGCCCAAACATGGACTTCAAGCCCCAACTCCTAAGTCCCGAACTCAGTGCGGTGTAAGGACCTCCACCATCTCTGCCTCCAATTAGTCGGTCCGAAAAGAGCCGGATCCACGACAAGAGAGCAACAAGTCTTCCATGCGCCCATACCCAAGTATGTACCCGGGACAATAGATCTGTGACTTACCTCATGTCCATTGCAACGACCGGTCCTTAATTGACATAGACAGGAAAAAAAGTGTAACCGAGCTTTGCCCCATTGGCCGCAGGACACAACCCTTTACACCCACCAGAACCCAACCATATCCCTGCTCGGTCACCATTTTCCTTTCCACCATTTTATCAGGAGTGATCATATTTATCACCTATTTGTGAGTAACGACAGGTTACCCATGCTACCGACATTCTGAGCATAGCAGCTACTCGACCTATACTAGTAGGACTCATGGGTGGATATATGTATGCACGTAGTTTTTATGAAATGTCTGTAACTTAAATGCACATCATATATATATATATATATATATTCAGTGATAAAAAATAGGGGTTATGCACCGGGGCTTGCCTTGGACAGGCGGGGTCTCAGCAAAGTCAGCAACTGATGGCTCTGGGACTCCCTCCTGCACGAGAACCTCCTCCTCGTACTCCTCGATCACCTCCTCATACTCCTACTCGCCCGCAGTCACGAACTCTACCAACTCGTTATCTACATACATGAAATGATGATGCAACGCTTAGTAATACGGCAACAGCAACTCTTAAAATAAGAATACATCTACCAAGCTACTAAGCTAACTCTAATGCCTAATACACAAAGTTACCTATTATTCCCACTAAACAGGTATAAAACATTTCATGTATTATCTTAGCAACTAAAGGCATCCTTATTGTTAATATCAATTTACTATATATATGATAAAACAATGTGCACTAGCAACCATATTTATCAACCTATTCTAAGGCTACAAAAATGACAGTAAACACATAATAATACAATGAACCTACTGTAAAAAATTTTAGGATTAGTACTTCTACCAATGCATCACAAAAATTCATTCTCTAAATAACCATAATAATACATATTTCAAAATAATAAAATAATCCTAAAGGTATCACTAAACTATACGAACTAATTACACTAACAGATAGATCATGAATTTCGAAATCTAACAAAATTTACTTCACAATAAATAAATAAATTCAAGTGAGCTCTAGAAAAGAAGAAGATGATAAGGATGGATAGGTCTTGATTTTAGATGATTTTAGGAAGAATAATCGAGTGAATCGGAGGTCGTATCAGGGAGATAATGATTGCGCAAGGTGACCACTAATTAAACATGTAAAGGATGATTAAAGAAAGCGATTAATGGCACTTGACAAGCTGGTCACGTGTTTGGATTTTACGTGATGGACTTGAGTGGGTCTTTGGTCCTTCAACGTGTCAACTGGGTTGGCATTAAAGAGTGTATATGTGCTAATTGGATTAAGAAGGGAGAAGGAGACCGCAGGTCAAGGAAATAACATAGAAGGAGGAGGGGATTTTTGCAGGCTGGCTACCTCGGTCGATTGCAGCTCAGGAAGGAAGTTCGACAGAGCGTAGCTTTCTCAGGCAAGAACACAGCAACTCGATTTGAGGAGTAAGATGGTGAGCGGTGGAGCGCAGCTCTGGAGCTCGGCGTGATGGTAGGGTTTTGCACGGCATGTCCTTTATAGGCTGGAGACGCAGGGCTGGAGGTGGAGCTGACACTGGGAAAAACGCCTGGCGTGCGCGATACACTATGGCAGCAGCAGCGCGACGTGCGCTGATAATTTTGCAAGGAGATTAGCAAGCAAAGTAAAGGCGGGGGTGATTAGAACAACGAGAGAGGACAGTGGAGCGTCGCGAGATTGATGCAGATATTGCTGGTCTTAATATTGGGTGCTAATCCACTTTTGAGAAAAGACAAAGTATTTGGATTAGTCACACTTGGACTTGCATGCACGTGGCTGGTTGAGGAGTGTGTTTTGGGTTTAACGTGTAGGTGCTGCTGGTGCATGAACGTGTTGCACGGGTAGCGAGAGAGCGGCGTGCTCAGCGGGCTGAGCTTGTGGAGAAGACGACTTGCGCAGAGAGGAGCATCATGGTCAGCTAGCACAAGGTAAGAACGTGCAGCCCTACAGCAAGGCATTAATGGATGGCACGCGAATTTCTACGAGCTGCTGCGGTCGGTCATCTTTGTTTGCTGAAGAGCGTGTGCAACACGCTAGAGGCTACTGCCTAACTCGCCATTCATGACACGGCGAAGTAATGACACTGTGGCGAAACTTGCCAGTGAAGGGTACTGCAAGCGTGCTACGCGGGCTTGCTCTACGAGTGTGCTGAGGGCATGCTCCGGGGATCAAGAAGGAGATGAAATAGCGAGAGATGGAGTTGGGTCAGGATGACAATAGTGAGTTGAGCTGTGCTGGAGAGTATTTGGACAAGAAATAAATGAGAACTCAAATTGAGAATTAGTGCAACAAAATTTAATTTCTCATTTTACCACATGCAATAATACATAAACATGATGCTCATGACATGGTTTTAGCAAAACTGTATAATGTAACACCGAGAGTGTTACATTTGCTGGCGGACACCCACTTTGGAGCATTTTGCCAGAAGATACTCTGGTTCGGTGAAATTAGGCCACAGGACACCGTGGGCCGGTTGCAGCCGGTTCAGGAGAGAGAACAATGATGAAATGACATTCTTGCCCCTGCCATTTTCTTCTTCCTCTCTCTCCTTTCTCTTTTTTTGTTTCCTGTCCCTATCACCCTCTCCACCTCCCCGCACGACGGCACGCGCGGAGCCGTCGGCGGAGAAGTCCGCGAGCGTGGGTGCTGTGCCCTAGCGCACCGCGTGACGGTGGTTCTTCGGTAGCTTGTAGTGCTCAAAGAGCGCCGTGGCGGCCTCACGGCGCTACCGCGGGTCGTCGCGATGGAGGAGCCCCATCAACGCCGGGTTGCTGCGAGGCTGTCGCCACTGAGGCTGGCCAAGTCCGATGCCGCCGCGGCGGAGGAGCCCCATCAGCATCCAGACACCACAACGGAGAGTGCATCCATAGCGCCGTCCGGCATGAGGCCCATGCGTGTGTCGTTGCCGTCTAGGCTGAGGATGTCGTTGTCGTAGATCGGCTTGTCGAACACCGGCATGGACGAGTGCTTTGGCTTCGGCGGTGGCGACGCGGTGGAAGCGGCGGGGTCCTTGAACGAGTCGAAGATGTTATCGAGCGACGGCACGGCCTTGGGCGGCTGTGGCGGGGCGAACCCGAAGAGCTCGTCGTAGGAGGGCGCAGATCCCGCGACGGATCTGGTATTGGTCCAGGCGGATCCGGAGGCCCTCGAGGAGTGCGTGGCTGACATGGGTGCGGCCTTCCCCTATGGGTGGAGGCCGAAGTTACGGGCCAGCAGGCCCTAGAAGTCATCCATGGCGGGCGAGCAGATTGCCGAATCCGCCACTCGCTCGCTCGCTCACTCGCGTAGCAGCGGCGGCGTGCGCGGACAAGGGCGCGAGTAGGTGGGGCAGATCTGGGCAGGAGCACAGACCCTCGCCGGGGGGGAGCGCAAGGCATGAGGCGGCGATCGGAGGAATGGGGTGCGGGGCCCAACGTCGGTGGGGTCGCCAGAGTGGAGTCATTGTCAGCGATGGCGGAGCGGCAAATAGGAGTGGGCGAGTCGGAGAGAGAGGAGACCGGAAAGTGGAGGCGACGGGGGATATCATATCATTGCTGCCTCGAGGGGTCTGCTTCCATCTTGTGGGCCCCAGAGAAAAGCGAGAGGGGAAGAAGAAAGCGGCAGGGGCAATAATGTCATTTCATCGCTGATCTCTCTACTCAACCGGCTGCAACCGGTCTGCGATGTCTTGTGGCCTAATTTCACCGAACTAGAGTGTCTTCTAACAAAATGCTTCAAAGTAGATATCCACCGACCATCACTTTAGATATGCAACGGACAATTGTCCCTTGAATTAATGGAAGGCTATTATCGTACCCGTGAAGTGGTCATGAGACGAGCTCCCACTGGCACGTGGCACCTCACCTCACATGTCCAACCACGTCTGGCCCCATGCCCTGACTGTCCTCCACCTCACATTCTCCGCTCCCCTGCACCAGGTCCACCAGCACCGTGGGCTCCACGCAACCAGCCAGTCCATGTCCGTCCATGCGCGCGGTCCACGACAACGCTTCGTGCTGCTCCGCTCCCCTTTATGCACCGCGGCTGCCACGGTCCCACCCCCACCCGGATTTTTTTTTAATTTTAACACTTTTTGGAAACTAATTTTAAATCTAACACGGCCGGTTTTTTTAAAAAACTAACACTTTTGTCCGCGCCTATTGCCCTAGCGTGGCCAAATGCCTGTGCCGCGCCATGCATGGTGGCGTGGCAGAGAACTGACGTGGCACGGTCCCGAATCGTTGACCGCTGATGAGGCAGGGGCTGCCGCACCACCGATCTTGGCACGGCACTGCCGCGCCCTGATCCGTGGCGTGGCAGTGCCGAATAAGACCCCTGCCGCGGCCCACGTCCACCAGCGGCCGAGCAGACGCCGTTGCCCGAGCAGCGCAGCAAGGCCGCCTGGTAGCCGCGCCCACGTCCGCCCGCGCCAGCCCACCGCCGAGCACGCCGGCCGCCACACCACGAACACCGGCAGCCCGACCCCCGCCTCCCTCCCTTCCCTTCCATTCCCCGGCCACCTCCCTCCTCGTCCTCGTCCATTCCCTGGCCGCCTCCTTGTCCGGTGGCCTTGACCGGCCATTGGCGAGCAGCATGGCACGGCCACCGCACGCCGCCGCGGCCGCTAAGCCAAGACGCCAACGTGCCACCCCTCCTCGACCATGCACAACAGTGCCCATCGAGACTACGCCTGGTGCCTCCGGCCCGGTCTAGCTACTGCAATGAGATACTCCCCTAATAAAGTTAGTAAAATTATTAAAGTATAGTTAGTATAGTTAGTAAAGTTAATTAGTTTAGTTAGTATAAGTAATATAGTAAGTTAGTATAGGTAGTAAAGTTAGGTAGTTTAGTTAGTACAGTTATTTAGTCTAGTTATACATTGTATTTAGTCTAATTAGTTGTTGTTGTTAGCCTTGTATAGATGTTAATTTTAGATTAGTTAGTATAGTTATAGTTAGAGTATGTATTAATATAAATATGGACATTACGTACGACGATTTCGACGACTTGATGAAGTTTCTTGAAATACTTTTGCAGATGGATTGTTGTGTTAGGGTTTTGTATGGAGGAAGTGTTAGGAGAGAAATTGTATGTTTGAGGATATGGAAGAAGAATTGGAATGGTTTGATGAACCTCCTAACTTCAACGACTTTTGTGTCCGTTTGAATGCAAAGTTTATCGGTGATTTCACACTGAAGGGGAGGTTTGATACTAGGAAGACTAGGGCACACTATGTCCTCATGCCCTTGCGTGACCCTGCTCACTGGTCCCGCTACACTAGGGTTGTCCAAGGTTCCAATGTGCCCATGGCTGAGGTGGTGGTGTAGAATGGGTACAGGATGCAGGGTGTTCAGGATGGCCCGTCCATTGATGGTTATGGAGGCAATGACAAAGAATTAGGGGTTGAAGGAGAAGCAACTTAGGATAACATGGATTTGGACGGTCAGTTGACGCAGGAGCAGTTTCATTCAACTGCAGTAGATTCTATAAGCAATGACTTCGATGTGAATGAGTTCGAACGGGAAGAGGAGGAGCAGGAGGAGGAGGACAGGATCGGTGATGTAGTTAGTAGTGATTCAGACGATTCTGATGATGACCTAGGAGGTATAGATGCTATGCCAACACGGGTTGATGCCATGCTAGTACCGGTTCATACTATGCCATTACCAGTACCAACTGAGGCTTTGCATGGTGTTCAGGCTCAGGATAGACTAGTCACAGATTTGGCTGCAAATGATACCCCCTATGATTCATGGGCCAGAATTAGCGAAGCGCAGCAGTAAGTTCCACCACCACCTTACACAGCGACTGAGCTTGAGCAACTAAGGTCCAAGAATGTACCTTTCATGGGCGTTCCAAACTACAGGGAAGTCAGTATGACGGATATGGCAGTTTGTGACACCGGTCTCCAGATGTGTAGGAATTCATTATATAACCATGAGAAAGAAACCCTTAGGAAGGGGATGATATTCAACACAATGTCAGAGATGAAACTCTTCCTTCAGGACTATGTTGTGTACCACCATAGGTCGTACACCGTCACTCATTCGGACCAGGAGTTGAGGTACCACATGATATGCAAAAACGGTTGTATGTGGAGGTTAAATGCACGAAAGAGACAGAGTGATGGCAAGTGGAGGATAACTAAAGTTGTCGAACCCCACACTTGCCTAGACAATAGGGGGAAGGAAAATCATCAGCAGCTCACTGCACGTTACCTTGCCCGTCGTATATTGGGGCTCGTTGATGATAATAACGACATCTCGGTGTCTTCCTTACAACAGTCCATATCTGGATTCGTTAGGTATGATGTGACGTACGGAAAAGGCTTGGCGTGCTAAGCAAATTGCTCTGACGATTCGATGGGGTACTTGGGAGGAAGTGTACAACAGGGTGCCCCGCATCTTATGTGCAATGCATTACTACAACCCTAGCTTGAAATGGTTTGTGGACACCGGAGGAATGTTTTTTTGGGACCCATTGAGGCATGTCCTCTATCGTGTGTTCTGGTCATTCGCGCAAACAGAACATGCATTCCAGTTTTGTCGACCAGTCGTACTTATTGATGGCACTTTCCTGACAGGAAAGTACAGGGGCACCTTGATGATGGTTGCTGCTGTTGATCCTGAGGACCAGATAGTACCCATTGCTTTTTCTTTGGCAGAGGGGGAGAACAATGAATCATGGTCATGGTTCATGCGGCTTCTACATGTGCAAGTGCTTGTCCCAACTCGCACTATATGTTTGATCTCGAACCATCACGCAGGGCTTCTTAATGCTGCAGCTGAGCATATAGATGGGTTCCCGCCTCTAGTCCATAGATGGTGCATGAGACACTTTGCCACTAATTTCTGGCGACGTCAGCGGAAGCAGGAGGTATGTGACAAGGTAAAGGCTCTATGTTGCGTACATACAGAGCACCAGTTTAAGGAGACAAAGAGAGAACTAGACAAGATGGTAAATGCAGCGGGAAAGGCCTAGTTAGAGTCGCAGATGGAACAGAAGGCTCAGTGGGCGTTAGCATATGGCGAGGGGGGTTTCAGGTATGGCATCATGACCACTAACTCCTCGGAGTCCTTCAACCGTGTATTCATAGAAGTTCGATCGTTGCCTATGTCTGGAATTGTTGAGTTCTCATTTCATAAGTGCAACGAATAATTTGTGAAGAGGTGGGAACTTGCGTAGAGGAATATAGCTGAGCAGGGGCATTTTGGAAAAGGCCGGAGCTGAACATTTGAAGGAGGTCGAGGAATTGGCGAAGCAGCACACCACCGAGCCGTATGGACCCCGTTGCCATATCTTTAGTGTACGGGGCAAGGGTGGCACAAGCTTGGGCGGCGAACGTTATGGTGGACGAAACTACCGAGTTGATCTTGAAAAGGTAGAGTGCAGTTGCAACATCCCTCAGATCATGCATGCCCCTTGCTCTCATATGATCACGGCCTGCAGGGTTCGCGGGTACAACTATGAGGATCTGCCATATATGTCACCCTTGTATCTCCGTTCGAACAGCGTTAGTATTTGGGAGATAAGCTTCGAGCCATACCTTGACCCGACACAGTGGCCACCTTATAATGGTTATGACTACGTGCCGCATCCAGATCTAATGAAGGTAGGGAAGGGTAGGAGGAAGAAGAAGCAACTCAAGGGGGACATGGACGCTATGAGAGGGTACGGCGAAGACATGTACGGCAGGGGAGACTTCAACGAGACCCGTGGTAGGAATCTTTGCTCCGTTTGCAAATAATCTGGTCACAAGGCTAGCAACCATAGAAGATGAGGGCAGCAGGTGATTTCATATTGTGTTCGTATTTCATAACAAGTAGTTCAAATTTTGTAATGCTACATAATGTTAATCTGAATATTGTTAATTTAAATATTGTAACCCTTTGTTTATCAATTTGTAACAGGATGGCCCCTCCCACGACGCACCTGTTGTACCCCCTTCTTGAGGTGGAGTACGACGACCCCCTTCTTCCACCGAACGATGAGGTTTTCAAGAGGCGTTCGAGGGATCCTTACATTCCTAGGACTTAGTTTATTACGTTGAACTTATGTCGAACGAATATTGTCGACGAAAACTTGCAGACTCATAAACCAATGAAAATGTAATGTGGCAACTTGTCAGCCATTTATTTGCTTCATATTCATTTGAACTTGCGCACGGTCACGGCAACACATGAAGTTTTTCGCAGCACCGACAACAACTCGATTGAGGTTGGCCGTTGTCTGACCACGTCACTACCGTGCCGTGGTATATGGCGCGGCACTGACGCACCATGGACTATGGCGCGGCAGAGCCTAGGCTATGGGGCGGCTGAACCAGTGTGCTACAACGCTGTATTCGAGATAATTTAACATGATTACATTTGTTTTAGGAATTCTCAACGCATGATACAAATAGATGTTATCACTTAAGATCGATCATGGGTAATCCGAGTACATGATACATGGGTACAATACAATAGTAGTTCAAATGCAATATAAGACAACACAATGGAATTTTTACTACATAGTTACATTGATCATTAATAGAGCATGGAACTAACTGACGGCGCAATCAAAAACCCTTAGTCAGAAACATACTGAGTAAGCAACTCGTCATCCGAGTACCAATCCTCAATCACAACCCTATTGTTGTGGCTAGGGTCACCTACATTGCCATGATCTACCTTTCGCCTGTAGTAAGCGACCTCCGCTTCATCTGTGGCCTCTGCGGCCTAAGTGAAGAACGCGTCGTCATCCTCCTCCGCTTGTAAGCCCGCCTCTGCTAGAGCGATGTGCTCGTTCAGTCTACCAGTGTCGTCTTCAGCCTCCTCCGCCTGCAAGCCTGCCTCTGCTAGAGCGATGAGCTCGCTGAGTCTGGTAGTGTCGTCCTCATCCTCGTCCCCCTCATCAGACAACATAATCGGTGATTCAACTGTGCGACCAGCTCGCTTTCTGTGCTCATCTAACTTCTTTTCCTCGTACCTTGCACGAGCCAATTCTGCAGCATGTTCCTCGCTGCATCCAATCCCTTCATGTATAAAATGAAATCAGTTAGCAACGTGACTATATTACATTTAAAATCAGGCAACGAAAAAAGGCTTTCGAGCACTCACTGGCACATAATACAACAACATGCTCGTTCAAGACTTGCATCTGTACTCTTGTCTCCTCCCTTGCCTCCTTCCTTGCCCTCTCCTGCTCTAATGTCATCCCGCTCCAATCCCCATTTGTCAAGCCCAACGTCGATCGGGTTACTAATACCGTGCTGTCTAGCAAACTCACACATCTTGTCTTTGTGATGTTTCACGAAAAGGTTGACGTAGTCAGGTCCATATCCCCTTTTCCGTGTAATTACTTGCTTCCCCTTCAGTTCATCTAAGAACTTAGCTTGACCATCATAACATTCTCACCTGCATTTCCTAGTGCTCTGTTCAAACAAAAAATCATATCATATATGTCTTAGCAAAAGAAACAAAATACGATTTCATGTTTACCACAAAAATAACCAACCTCATCATAGTCAACCATATGGCCGCAGTAATGGCCTATTCCAAGCTCCGAAGGGACTAGACCGTAGTTGGATTTAACACCACATTCGCACTTGACTGGCGGTGCTTTATAAATTAATCTTTCTTTCTTCTTTTGCTTTGCCTTTGGAGGTTCTTCGGGCCATTTGTTCTTAGGTCCATACAACCACACCTTGAAACGACACTTCGCCATGGAATATACCTAAATAACGTGAAATTAGTACATGACACATATAGCTCAACATTTCAACACATAAACTTTGCACTTACTTCATGCTTGTTTGGACACACAAACTCCAACATATTGTCAGGGTTTATCATGGCTCGGTCTCCGCAATAGCACATAGGAGGTTCCTCGAGTCGTCTAACTGCGGCTAAGTGCTTCTCCTTAGCCGTCATTGGAGGGGGGTTAAGAGGAGGTGGAACCCACCACTCGAAGTGCTCTCGTGGATGTCGCCCTCTCCACCAATCATCGAAATAAGGTACCTGGGGTCAAACTTGTCTGCACCGTCGATCCACTAAAAGAAAAAGCACCTCTCATAGGCCTACACAACAAAAATTCAACAAAATTTTAGTAACCTAGTAATACAAATGAAGAAGAAAAATATACGGAAACAATTACTTACATTAAAACGACTGCACGTGTAGAAGCAACGAGCCGCTGTGTCCGGATGTCTCGATTAAAACAGGTCGGTCGGACGACCACAGTCACAGTTAGGGACAGGGAGTTCAGGAGAGACGGGGGCATCTTTGCTAGACTCGTCGGGGTACAATTCTCTAGGACGACCCCGTTTTCGCCATAACTACTCCCGAAACATGTCTTCCATCTAATAAAACGGTTCCAATTAAACATTAATCAAAACAACGCAAATTAATGTAAAATATAATCATTTGCAATGCAACTAAAATAATATAACCGACAATTATAGCAACAAATATAGACATGGTAAACATACTTCTAACTAAATAATTAACCTTAACATTGACAAAATCAAACTAATATCTTCCTTCAAACCGTAGACCATAGTTCCCAAACATAATTTTCCTCATAAACTTAGCTCCCATTCATAATATACTATCAACCATTCAAACGAAAATAAAATATGCGTCATTACCTTGCACGAGGACGAGGAGGGAGGGAGGCGGCCGGGGAATGGAAAGGAAGGGAGGGAGGCGGGGGCCGGGCTGCCGGCGTTTGTGGTGTGGCGGCCGGCGTGCTCGGCGGCGGGCTACGCTGCTCGGGCAACGACGTCTGCTCAGCCGCTGGCGGACGCGGCCCGCGGCGGGGTCTTATTCAGCTCTGCGGTGTCACGGATCAGGGCGCGGCAGTGTCGCACCAAGATCGGTGGTGCGGCAGCCCCTGCCCCGTCAGTGGTCAACGATTCGGGACCGTGCCACGTCAGCCCTCTGCCGCGCCACCATGTATGGCGCGGCACAGGCATTTGGCCGCGCCAGGGCAATAGGCACGGCCAAAAGTGTTAGTTTAAAAAAAATCTGCCGTATTTAAAATTAGTTTTAAAAGTGTTAAAATTAAAAAAAATCCCCACCCGTCCCTCGTCTCCTCATCTGCCCGCTCCCGAAGAATCCATTCCGTTCCACGCGCCGTCACCCAAATCCAAGCCCACCGGAAGCGTCCGAACCCTAGCCCATGGCGACGCGACCTCCCTCCAGCGTCATCGCTGGGCGGGCCCTCCTTCTCGCCGCCGCCATCGCCACATCACGCCGGTGGCCCTACCGAAGGAGATCCTCCTCCGCTTCCGCCCGGCGAACCGGGCGAGCCTCTCCGCGCGCCGCGCGTCTGCGCAGCACCGGCGCTGGCCCCTCGTCTCGGCCCCGACTTCCGCATTTGCCGGGGCGAGTTCCACCGCACCCCACCGATGCTAGGGATGTTCTGCGGCGGCTGCACGCGTGTACCACCACTTCAAGCCCACGACCGCCTTCCGCCCATGTCATGCCGAAAGCGCCCTGGCACAAGCGCCAGATGGACGCCCGCCACGTCCGTGTCCTCCTCCATGGGGAACGCAGGCCTCGTCGCTCTGGAACCCCATCACGCATTTAGGCGCGGAAAGTGCCCCTTCCGCGGTCTCCACCGCGATACATGGGGCCGTTGACACTGAATCGCAGCAGTTCTTCTGTGTTCATCCGCCGCGGCCGGTTGTGACCACCTTGATTGCCACCACGGACCTTTCATCGTGGTTGTTGTGCGCTCTGCTTTTGGGACCGCTGGTGTAGTGGAGACCTTAATCTTCACCTACTCATCTGATGTCGCTGCCTGGAGGAGAAATTTAGATATCTAACCCGTTATTCGCGCGCCTCTCATAATATAACCCTCAATTCGCATGTCTTTGGAAAAATGACCCATGTCCTGCGAATTGTTTTGAAATTTAATCTTATCAAGGATTTCTCTATTTCTATAATTCCAAAAATCATCTTTCACTGTTTGGGACGGGAGAAAAGACATCATTACCCCTCCCTTGTTTATGTTTTGTTCCCGTTCGCTGGGGCCTGGACTCGACTCGCAGGAGCACGAGTCGCGAGCGCCGCGACGGACTCCCACACGTCGCGGCGTCTGCGAGCTGCCCGCCACCGGTCAGGTCCGATCGCCGCCCGCCGCCCGCCGGCCACGGCCAGCGCCCTCACCTGTGCCCTCCTCCTGCTGCTCCTCCTCCTCGCGCCTCCCTGCAGTTCCTCCTCCCGCTGGCAGTTGTGCCTCCTCCTCTCGGCAAGGAAGCTAGGGTTAGAGGGGGTTTACGGCGTCCACCACCAGGCCGGCCCTTGCACCATCCATTGGACTGCGACTGAAGGGGCTGCAACCTCCACCTGCTCCATGGCTCCAGGGTAAGAGCCCCAATCTCCTCCCTCTGTACTGTATGTTTAGGGTTCCTGTTGATTTGGGGGCACAATCTAAATTGTGTCTCTTTTATTTTTTGTTGGTATCCGGTAGAATCGATTCGGATCCGGATGGGGAATTTAGGTTGTGTGTTCAGTTTTCTCCGTTCACAGCTAAGTTGGATGATAGCCGCTCTGTTGATGTGCTACATAAATGTGATGAATGGGTTGTTGATTGTCGATTTTATAATCTAGAGATGCTACTCGGAGATTTGGAAGATAGGGTGAAGTGGGGAAGCGGGCAGTAGCCTGTGATACATGAGTTTGACATGAGTGGTAGTGGAGAGAAGAAGCTGGTGGATGATAAAGACCTGTCACTTACATTTGCTGAGAAGATGCATGATAAGAAGTTGTTCTTGTTTGTTGATGTCGTGGATAAACCCGCAGAAATATTTTCCAACTCAGCTGTTACAGAGGCAGAGGCTGCTGCAAGTAATGTAGGACATGACAATGCCACAGAACAAGGAGATTGCGGCAATCCTGTAGTTGTTTCTCATCAAATTGACTAGGAGAGTCTGCTGATAACTCCTCTTACAGAAGACCAGATTGGTACTGCACTTCCTGTGATGGATGAGGATGCAATGTATGAGTTTGTTGGCCTTAGAGCAGAGGATGAGAGAGCTGAACAGGCTAGGATGGCAGCCCAAAAGGTGACTGAAATTAATCTTGATGATGTGGAGCTACAAGATGCAGACTTGTTGGTTCATGATCATGTACCTGGTGAGGATTCTGTTTTCTGTGACAAAGAAGACCCTCCAATGGAAGTTGGAACAATATATTCTAGTATGGATGAGTTTAGGGCTGCAGTGCGACAACATGCTATAAAGGGGCAATTTCAGCTTGCAACAAAGAAATCTCGCAAAGATTATTTCAACGGCAAATGCGCTCATGAGGGTTGTTCATGGACTATTTTAGCAAGGTTGATGCGTGATGATCAACAAGACAGGAACTTTTTGGCACATGGGAAGATAGTTTTGGTGATTTGTTCAACTTCAAGGCAGAGATTGAGCTCAGAATGCCAGGAAGTGTTGTAGAGATAGATGTTGTGAATACGGAGGAAGGTGTATTTTTTCATAGGTTCTTTTGTTGTATAAAGCCAAGCATTGATGGTTTCCTTAATGGTTGTAGGCCATTTTTGAGTATTGATTCTACAACTCTCAATGGTAGATGGAATGGGCACCTACCTGCAGCTACAGCACTAGATGGGCACAACTGGATTTTTCCAGTTGCATTTGGATTTTTTGATGGTGAGACTGCTGATAATTGGACTTGGTTTATGCAGCAGCTGCAAAAGGCAATTGGTGATCCACCTCACCTAGCTATAAGTTCAGATGCTTGCAAGGGCCTAGAGAATGCAGTGAAGAAGGTATTCCCTTGGGCAGAGCATAGAGAATGTTTTGTCCATCTGATGAAGAATTTTAGCAAGAGGTTTCAAGGGCCTGCATTTGGGAGAATGTATCCTGCAGCCAGGACTTTTCAACCAGAATACCATGAATACTTGATGAAGAAGATGTATGAAGTAAACAAGAATGTTGAGCCATGGTTGAAAGCCAATCACAAGTTAAAGTGGATGAGGAGCCAATTCTCAGAGGCAATAAAGTGTGATCATATCACCAACAATGTGGCAGAGGTTTGGAATAATTGGGTGAAAGACCTTAAGGACCTTCCAGTGGCTGACCTTGCAGACAAACTGAGGTCCAAATTCATGGAACTTTATGCAAGAAGGAGAAGGATAGGTGAAAAATTTGAAGGACATGTAATGCTGCCACTTGTTGTACGCCAGCTATATGCAATGACCCGGCAACTCGGTCACTTGAACACAGAAGCAGGTGGAAGGGATGAAGCACAGGTCTCAGAGGTCACTGCTTCACACAAGATCATAAGACATGTGGTGAATATTAAGGACCATGTATGCACCTGCAGGGAGTGGCAAGTGTCAGGTAAACCATGTGCACATGCTTTGGCACTCATCATCACTTGTAGAAATGCTAAGATGGAAGACTACTTGGATCCTTATTATTCAGTGTACCGTTTTAGACTAGCCTATGGTGGTGTGATCAAACCACTGCCCGATAAATCTCAGTGGGTGCGTGTGGAACTTGGATTCAAAGTGATGCCACCACTAGATAAGAGAGATGTTGGAAGACAATGGAAAAATAGAAAACCTAGCAGAACCAAGGGAAGCAAGCCTAGGGGCAAAGGCATGTGGAAGGTTAAGTGTCAAAATTGCTTGGGTCTTGGCCATAGGACTAACTCTCCAAAGTGCCCTCTTAATGGAACAAAGAAGAGGTAAATGTGTATGCCTTTTTAAAATAATGCATACTTGCTGAATATTTTGTATTCATCTTAATTTTTCTTATACAGGAAAAGTCGAGTCAAGAAAGAGAAGGCAGGGAGACATGCTGGTTGTAGCAAAGGTGATGCAACTCCTAGTCCATCCAAAAGGCAGAAGGTTGTAGTGGCAGAAGGCACAAGTGAAATCAACACTAGTCCTAGACCTGTTACAAGGAGGCAAAGGTGATTCCTGAAAACTAAAATCAACACTAGTCTCTTTTAACCTATTGCAATTAACCTTCTCATTTTTTAGCCAATTGCAACTAACAATGGGGGAACTTGGAGGGACAAATCAAATCACTACAAGCCCCGGAGCAGTTACAATAAGGTAAAAATCATTCATTGTGTGTGACATGTGTGCATCTTATCTCATGTACCGAACCATTCCATTGACCTATGATATGTAGTGAAACTAGAGAAGGGCCAAGTAATACAATGACCACTCCAAGGAAGAGTCCAAGGAAGAGGCTAGGTCTCAAGAAAAAACTCACTCCAAAGGAAGGGGAAGAATATGGATGCTTGGATAATCTTCATTTAATGTCATGAGACTTTTGTCTGTTAAGATTCCCGGCCATCTTTTGTGCATGTGAACTTGTGGTCCTAAATTGGCTGGATGACTCTCTTTTGTATGGCTATTTTTATGTGAACTATGTGAACTTGTAGTCGTATTAGATTGGCTAGATGGCTGAGTTGTTGACATGAACCTATTTATTAAATTGTATATGAACGTGTACTAATATTAAATCTATGCTGGAATTGTGCAGTTGATTTTATTATTTATGGTGAAATTGTATGGCTGTTTTTATCGTGTAAAACATGTTATTTACATTTATTTTGAACATATATATTTGATCTGTGCAAAATATTAGTCTTTAGGAGCATGGGACGGAGCTGGGAAGAAAAATAAATAGGCTAGGAAGGATATTACACCACCTGGGACGCATCTGAGTGGCTAGACATGTGTCCCTGGAATGAGGGAGGGGCAGTAACGTCTTTTTCCATACCCTAAACAGTGAAGAGAGCCCCTGGAATTACAGAAATGGAGAAAATCTCGAAAAGACTAAATTTCAAAATAATTCGCAGGACATAGGTCATACTTTTAAAGACATGCGAATTGAGGGTTATATTATGAGGGGCGCGCGAATAACGTCTAAATTTCTCTGCCTGGAGTGAGCCAATCTGCGATCAGCTACCTGCTGGTTACATCCGAGGATTAGTCGATCCTCGCATGAGGAGTGCGCTTGTGGGGAATGCGCTCTACTTTGGCTTCATGGAGGAAAGGACAGCTCTCACGTACAACATGCAATCGCACCAAATGTCGTGGATTCAACTGCCACCTTCAGTGCCCCTTCGTCGGCTTCTGCTCACAACAACGGAGGATGGTGGACTGGGTCTCGCCACTGAACACGAGTCCAAACTCTATGTCTGGTCGAGGAAGGATGCTGATGAAGTAGATGCTAGATGGGAACAAAGCAGAGTCATTGAGGAGCTTAAGATGCTGCTCCCTGTTGATGCCGACTTCACCTCACTGGTTGGCTCCACGGATGATCTTGGTATCATTTTTCATGAGAGCGGGCAATGCGATCTATGCAATTGATCTGAAGACCTATAAGGGGAAGAAGGTATGCCAGGGCGAAATCAACGCCATTGTTCCGTACATGAGCTTCTACACTCCAGGTACAGCTTTACTTAGTTTTTGATTTTACAATGTTCAAGGTGCAATAGGCTCTACAATATTGTATTTATGAAGGTGCATTCTTATATCTAACTGGGTTGATCATACTTCAATGTTTTTATTATGGGCAATCTTTGAAACTAATCAAATATGACTATGAATTTATTGATCTATGTTGAGCCAAGAAGGTAAATATGTAGCTGGAGTGAAAATTTAAAAGTAATTACTTGGGTGAGCTTCTACACTTCAGATGCCTTGTGCCTATCTCTAATCATGTTCATACGTAGCCCTCATCCGTCAATGGATGGTGACGTCAGTGCTAAACTTAGGGAGGTAGTTATCTTATTGAGTTTGTTCAAGTATGATGCTAACTGTTGTTGCTGTGAATAATGAAGTAGTGTTATTTTGTTGGCAAGCAATAAGGGTTCATCCAGGGCAAATTTGAGTCCTCAATAAGCTGATGTTGTTCTCAAAATTTATAAATTTTTGTAGCATTGGAAGCAGACGGTACTGGTGACGGACCAAGTGCTGGTGGCTCAAGTGCATGAAAAGCTTAAGGTGCTCATGTGAGGTTCTCAAGTAAGTAGCACGAGGTCTATGGTGGGACAACACTTTTTTGCATCAGTGAGATTGGTGCTGGACTTGGGCTTTTGTGATTTTCAAGTAGCAGTTTGTCTTGAACCTTTTAGCTTTATCGTTGGTTCTGTCGGGCTTGTATGTAAGCTGTTAATCTCTACATTGTCTGACTTGATCTGTGACTATGGGCTCCAGAATTCCTGCTTGTGATGAAATCCTGACATGCACATTCCTTTCCTTGTTAAAAGATCTAGCCTCAAGAAAATTAGCATTATGAAATCAGATCATTGCAACTTCATATGTTCCATGTCCTTCCTATATAAATTTATTTGCTTATTTATTTATTGTGCTTCAACATCTTATTGCTTCTAAATGATTGGATAACCAGGAACTTGATACTTTATTGCTGGCATATTTTTGCTTGTGTGGCCAACCTGGTAGAAATCAAAAGACTGAGACAGCTTATTCATGTGTGAATCATAAAACCACAATGCAGTGGCGACAAGACCATGTGGCACAATTTAGTTTGTGTGCAGGTGAACACAAGGAGAAAAAAAAGGTAACATGATCAAAGAGTAACAGTACATGAGTGCAGCAGGTGCTGACGGTGAATCATGGTTTGTGTTGCTCGTCGAATGCCGTTCACGAAGCATGAGCATTGTCGAGTCTTCTGCATGCTGAACCAAATCTCTTATTGTTCTGTGTTTGCTTGATAGCCACCCCACCCCCTTGTCATTTTGGGAATGATGAAGTGTGTGATGTGATGCTGAACTGAACTTGCCAGTATTTCCATCGTGGAAAAGGCCTCTTTTTCAGTAAACTATAGCATCTGGGGTAAATAAATAAATTGAAGAGATCCTGAAGAAGTGAAAATCTTCAATCCAGTTTCTGTGCGGCCTGTAAAAGATGATGCTTCAACAGTTCAACTGCTACCTTGGACCAAGAGGCATCAGCAGCATTATATTTATTATTACTAATTATATTGACAAGGTAAGACAGTGAACACTGTGCCTCGTAGGTGAATTCTGTAGCTTCCTTGAGTGGAACTCGATCGGACTAATAACCGTACGTGTCATGTTATGGTGTTGCGGATGCCATCAACAGTTTTTGGGTAGATCAAAAACAAGAAGAAAAACATTCAAAGACTGTAAACTTTGTCGAATACTGAACGAGCTATTCTATCTGCTGCTGGAACGCTGGGCACTATTAGTTACAGAGTATGATGAGGACTGAGGAGGTACAGCTAGTTGGGCCGATCTCACCAGAAGCCAAAGCGGCAAAGCCCGGGTGTCATATAACAAATCATTTTTCTTTGATTCGTGATTGTACTTTGCCCATCCTAGCCCTTGGTTTTGGTGGATTTTGTGGTACGTTTCCTGTTCTTAATTGGGCGGCAGACTGTAGCTAGCGCTACTTTTTCACAGGAAAAAAGAGAAGCTCATAGCCTACTATCCTCTGTGCAGGATGGCATTGCTTAAAATGCCACTACGATAGCTCATAGCTCCAATGCTTCACGCTATGCAGTGGGCACCCGCGCTTCAAACCATATACTTCCCGATAACACTTTGCATTGGAACGAACGCCATAGCAACCATTTTTGAATACGTGCACTTCAGATGCCAATCGCTTGTAATAACTTAATCAATAGTACATCGTTCTCTGTCAGACTTTGATCCTATCAGCACACAGCAGCAAAAGCAATATAATGGGACCATATCCTGATATGCGTGAGTCAGTGAAAGCGAAACCTCCAGCGCCTTGACTCTTGAGTCGATTCCGGTGATCGGTTCACTCCCTCTGCTTGCCCAGCCGGACGTCCTGCAGGAGCATGAGCCCAATGGAGAAGACGGTGGCGAGCAGCGGCGTGGGCACCTGCTCCACGGCGTCGCTTATCCTCGGCACCTGCCTGGCGGCGTTCTTGGCCGTCACGGCGAGCAGCGGCGCGCCCAGGATGGCGACGGCGGCCTTGTTGGCGAGCACCAGCCGCAGGTCCTTGTGCACCCACTCGAGGATCAGCTCCTGGAACTCCGTGAACAGTATCGCTTTCTTGTCGCGGTACCGGCATTCCTGCAGTTGCGGTCAGAGGGAACAAGCGATGATTAGTTTTTTTTTTTTTGGCGGAGAGCAAGCGATGGATTAGTTAGTTTTTGATGGGCTGATCTCTTTCACTACCCGGACGGCCGAGTAAGGCCCAAAAAAAGAACTAGGATGAAACATGCATTCTCTCCTGTTTCTCTCTCTCTCCCAACCCGACGGCCTAGTAAGGCCCAATTTCCGCCCCACCAGGTAGCGAACAGGCATATCGGCATCAGTAAAGATATCAACGGGGCCCCGTTCCCCGATTCCCCGTGGGGAATTCACCCATTAGGGGACGGGGATGGTATAAATTTTCTCCCCATGGGGATTTAAATGGAGAAAAAATCATCCCCGTCGGGTATGACGGGGACGGGGATGGTATGCATGCCCCCGTCCCCGTTCAACGCGGGACCCGATGCCTCCTCTCCTCACGTCCCCACGCCTACGATAAGCGGGCGGTGTGCCCCAGACGCCTCTCCTCTTCCTCCTCCTCTCTCTCTCTCTCTCCCTCGGGCCTCGTGCGGCGCTCCCTCCCCAGCCAGACGCCCCTCCTCCCTCCCCATCTAGCGGTAGCCCCTTCCCTCTCTAACTCGGTGGCTGGCGGCGCACCCTCCCCTCCCCTCCGGCGAGGGCTCGTGGCGGCGAGGCCTCCCGGATCGAGAGCTGGCGCCCTGCCATGGATCTCCTCTCCATCCCAGTAGCGCCCACATCTCCCCATCCCGCGGCCGGATTGGAGCACGGCAGCGCAGAAGACGCGACCCGCCTCGCAAACCCTAGCTCTCCCGCTCTCTCCCTCTCCCATGCACCCCAAACCCTAGCTTACTGCCCGCTCATCGACGACGACGCAGGGAGGCTCTCCCTCCCTCCCGGATCCGGCGGGTGGTGTCCTCCTCCTCCCTCCCGAGGCCACCCCTCTCCTTCCTGCGGCGCAGCTCCCTCCAGATCCCGTTGATGGCGCGGCCTCACCGACCCTCGATCTCCCTCCTGCGGCGCAGCTCCCTCCCGAGCCCGTCGACAGCGCGGCAGAGGCCCCTGGAGGCGGAGGCCCTGGCGCGGAGGGCGCACCAGCAATGGAGGCGGCAGATCTGCGGCGAGGAGGCAAATCCAGCCGAGGAGGCGGATCCAAGAATGAGGCCAGGCCGCGCCCGTCTGACAGCAAGCGGCGGCGTTTCTCGACCTCCACCGCCTCCACCAGATCCGGCTGCATGGGCTCCACCGATGGTGCCTCTAGGTGCGGATTCGTCGGCGGCAGCGCGTCTAGGTGCGGAAATCCAGGATGGCAGCAGCGTGGGTGTGCAGTTGATGCGGGGATGGGGATCCCCGCGGGGATTAAATCCCCGAGCGGGGATGGGGAAGAAGTGCTCCCCATGAGCCTTCACGGGGACGGGGATGGGGAAAATTTGCCCCTGCGGGGATAGGGATGGGGCAGTAACCCTCGACGGGGAATTCCCCGTTGACATCGCGAGGCATCAGCCAGGCAGCCACTCACGCAATCACGCTCAAGTGCCGTTTCTTTTCTCTTCCCGTCTCTTTTTTTTTCTTCTTGAATACGTAAAAGATTTACGTATCATTGTATCAAGGAGAAGAGTTTAAAAAAATATACAACGCGCTTCTATTGAGCGCCGAAGGAGATCAACTTAACACAACCGAAACTAGACCATGCTAACAAAAAGACTCCCCGTCTCTCATTTTCCCAAACTCCAAACCCTGGCGCGGCGAGCGGCGAACTCGTGACTCTAGCGCCCCAGTGGCCGGCAAGGGTGCGTCGGCGTGGCGCTCGCGGCCTCGCGCCCTTGTGGACGGAAGGCCGGTGAGGCTGTGACCCGGTGTGCGCATTGGCACCATGGGCATGGGATGCACAGCACAGCCGCACATGGCATGAAGCTTTTTGGATTGACCGATTGAGGCTTTCTGAAGTCAAATTGTAAGTTAAAATTTGGTCTACTGGCTTCCCATAATCTCATTCGATACATTGTGGATCGCAATTTATTAATCACTTGTAAACTAGGAACAGGGGAGTCTGACTGTCTAAGTCAGTGCCTCTGTAATTCCCTCAAACATGAAGAGAAAAAGGGCGGTGCTGCAGATTTGAGGGTTTTCTATGAATATATAAATCATGGTCAATTATGTGTTATGTATTTCTTATATATTAACCAGTTACGTCTATGTGGTATTATACTATTATACATGTGAAATACTTTCTCCGTCCCAAAAAAAAAATGCAAAGCACAGTGTCACGTTTTGGTACCTTAAGTTTAACCATTTATAGATAAAAAAAGTATCAATATTTATGATGTCAATAAATACCATTAGATTAATTACAAAATGTATTTTCATAATAATTTAGAGTTATAAACATGAATATTATTTACTAGAAACTTGATGAAACATGAACCATTTTTATGTGGCATGTAACCATTCTTTTTAGATAGAGGTAGTACTAGTTATAGGTTGCCAAATTTTATTTTTTGTTCCTATTTTGAATACCAAGTTCCAAATACTGGGCACGCCACTGCGAGCCGCCTCCCTTTCGCTCCTCCGCCAGGCCGCGCGCCTTCCTGCGCCGCCCGCTCTCAAGCCGCCGCCCTCTCTCTCGAGCCGCCGCACTCTCGCTCCTCCGCCAGGCTGCGCGCCTCCCCTGCGCTGCCCGCTCTCGAGTACCGTGTGCGCCGCTCCCTCACCGACGGCGCAGACAACTGCCGGTTCTTCCTTTTCCTAGAAAAAAAAAACCGTTCTTTCCCTCGCAATCTCGGTCCCCCCTGCTACCTCGCCGCCCGCCGGGGAGAGGCTTTCCGGCCAGCGAAAGGTACGTCGCATAGCGAAACTTGGAACCATACCTTCATTTTCTCGGCGATGGTGTTCAGGCAGGGAGGATCCTTGTGAGGGCCGACTAACTGCTTGTTGATTGAACTGGCAAAAGCCGTAATCGAAAATGGGGAAGCGCAGTCAGCACATAGACAGATTAGCGATCTAACACTGAAGCGATTATTAAGCAACGGCATTCTCACTTGTAAACCATGAGGGTGGCGACGTGGAGGGAGTTGATGTCCAGGAGCCCCGTGTTCTTGTCCGCCAGGTCCTCGAAGACTTTCTTGCAAATTCTTTCGACATCAGTCTTGCCTGCAAGCGAACGCAGCGTCAGGATGGATGAACTCGATGCGACGGTAACCATCACATTTCTCATGAGCAGAGCGGAGCAGAGAGACGAAGAATGTAACACGAGGTTGCAGAAATGGCGATGGCGAGAGATGCGCGTGCAGGGCAGGGAAACGTGGTTACCGCGTGCTCTGTCCCACGCGCGACCGAAGAAGTTAGACTTGGACGAGGACGACGACATCGTTAGCTCTCTCGATCTGGATCGATGGCGGCCGGGAGGATCGGGGGCAACCACACGACGAGTGGGAGAAGACAGGGAGCGCCTACGGTGGTAGCAATATCGATGTGGCGGAATAGCTTTTCTGATGTCTGACGAAGAAGTCGCTTGGCTTGCAGGGAAGGGCAGAATCAGAAGGCTGTTGCTGTGGCGTCTCTGTCCTGTGCATGCAGCCTGTGTTTATCTCCCTTCCTGCCGGCGCTAGCGCTACTGCTTTCCTTGCTCCTCCATCAGTTCAACCCCTAGAATAAAATACTGGATTCCTTCCTTACCTTTTGTCTGACAAACACCTGCTTCAGGATATGCCGATAACTTTGACTCGATTTATAGAAAATACGTGCAACATTTATATCTCTAAATAAATTTATTAAAAAACTAGATTCAAATATCTATCCAATAATACTAATTATGTATCATAAATATTAATAATTTTTAATATATATTTAGTCAAAGTTGTTTCTCGGGAAGCGAAAGCGACCAACAAAGGGACAGGAGGGAGCAGTCCTCACGGCCGGAAGGGATAGCATCAAGCAAGCCTCAACAGCTTTCTTCAATCTTTTTTTTAATATATAAAAAAACAGCTTTCCTCTCTTTTTTTCGCAAATACACATGAGAGCTACGTATCATTGATATTACGAAGGAATGGGTTTATATTACAAGAAGAACCGGCAAGGCCGGTGGCACTGAAAGGCTACATTGATACACGAAACAATCGTAGTGGGTTTGGGCCGCCCATACATATTTCCAACTTGACTAATTGGGCTTCTTGGTGTATGTGTAAGCAAGGCCCGGGGTCGGGGTATACGATCGCCAGCAGAAGTCCCTGCCCCTTCGTCACTTGGTCGTACATACTTTTTTTTAAGAAATAGGAGGGGTTTTGGGCCCCAACTACTGGAATAAAATGAATTAAAAATGTAGCACAAGAGTTACAGAAATACACAGGAGCAAACTTACAAAGTGGAGGAGGAATCGCACGCCATTGTTCTGCATTCTTACCGCAGCAACCTTTTCAAAGTTCCTTACCGCACGGAATCTGATTTCTATTTCCATTTCTCTTGGGTTTCGTTTTTTCCACAACAAGGAAGATGGATGAAACACCGAAGTCGGTATCCTCGTCTTGCAACAACGACGGTAAGTTTCCGCTCGAGTCTTGTTATTTACTGTCTTTGCTGTCTCTACTTTTTTTTTCCTTTTGGGGAATGGGAGACGATGGGCTTAATCTACAATTTCTTACTGTAATTTTCAGATGGAGTGCCGGAAGCAACAGGGATGGAGAAAGCGTTGTCTGATCTGCATGCGCTCAAGAAGCTATACGGGCTGCTTCAAAGGGTGAGAACAAGTCAAAAACAAATCTCGTTCTTTTATTAGAAAACTCTGTCCACATATATCAGGAGACGAAAGATCTAACTGCAAGGATGAGGCAAAATTGACCCAGTTAAAAAAAATGACTCAAAAGGAAGCGCTGTGATTTTGATGTCTTAGTTCCATTTTATTTTATTTTTTTGGTGTGTGGTGGTAGAGAAATATGTTTGCAATTCTGAAGCATATGATGGCAAGTTTAATTTGGTCTTACATTTGTGCAGTTAGATGAGACGTCCAGGGCCCTTCTGAAGAAGTTGCTTGATGACGCTACATGCCAGGCTCTCCTGAAGCAGGCAAATGTAATTTGTTACCGTGCCATTACTTGTAAACTGCGTCATCTTCTCAGCAATTTTTTAAGGAGTACCTTACCTATCGTACAACATTTTGCAGGCTCTTACTACTGCTTCTGATTCGGTGATTCGATTTTCTCTTGGTTTGACGTCTCCAAGGAAAATGGATCTTAACAACAGTTAGTTGCTAAACCAATCTTTGCCTTTTGCTGTCTTTTGGGGGAAACAAGGGGAGAAAGATACATGTCTGTGTGACAATGAGTTTAGTTATTCATTTCTTATTCTGATTTTGAAATGAAATTACCTTTTGGGGAAAAAGGGGGAGAAAGATACATGTCTATGTGACAATGAGTTTAGTTATTCATTTCTTATTCTGATTTTGAAATGGAATTGCCAGAAGGAACAGAGATGGAGCAAATTTTGTCTGATCTGGAGGCGCTCACGAAGCTATACAGCCTGCTTCACAAGGGTCCGGCAGATGAAAATGTAAGAAATTTATTTATGGCTTCGCTGCTATATGTCTTGTGGAGAAGTGAGAAAAATCCGGAATAGATTTCTTTTTTTTAAGTACAAACTGTGTTCTATCTGAAGAATGAAAGAACTAAGGTCATGTTCGCTTGTCTTATGAGCCGTACTATTTCAGCGAACGAGCAGTGTTTTTCTCTCACAACAAATCAACGAACGGTACTTTCAACCATAGTTTTTCAGCAAAGCGAACGGGATCCAAGTTTAGGCATGGTAAACCGAATCAATAGCTCTACACTTCTACTTTCAATATCTAATAACTGCAAGGATGAGACAACATTGAAGCAAAAAGCGAACCAAGCCCTTTCAGTGTTTATTCTGCGAGGTTTTCCTGTGATATTAATGTAAACAATCGCAAGTTTAATTTGTTCTTACTTTTGTGCAGTTAGATGAGGCATCCGGGGCTCTTCTGATGAAGATACTAGAAGATGCTACCCAGGAGGCTGTCCGGAGGCAGGCAAGGGTAACCTGTTTGCTTTTTGTGCCATTAATTACAGACGGCCACACCTACAGCTCTATTTTCTGGTCAAATGCCAATGCTAATCAAATTTAAAATGTGCCTTTCTGCAGATGCTATCAGGTTCTCTAGTGTCCCCTGTGCTAGAGAGAAAGCTCTCCACGCTTCTGCCGGACACGGCATGCCGATCCGCGCCTGAGGCCGGTGGCATCACCCAGACCCAGCCTCCTGGACAGTGAGCGACCGCGCCGGCTAAACCTGCAACATTCTACAGTGTCAAGCCGATCTGGCCTCCACGTCGACGGCCATCGCCATGAAGCGGAAGAGCATCCCCTTGCTCGCCTCGCCTCCAAGCACTCGTCGAGAACCGCATTGCCGGCACGGCACCGTCCAAGCCAAGAGCAGCGGCACTCCAGCCTCAGCCTCCACCGTTTCCCCGCGGCTGGAACGTCGAGACATGGCACGGTGACTGGAGGTACTAGGCTTACCGATCGCCGGGACAGCATCCGTCGCAGCTCCGGCCGTGGTGACCAATGGTCGCCAGAACGCAGCAGCAGTAGGAGCAGCAGCCGGCGTTCCGTGTTACGGGAGCTGTCTCTGGGGCCGTCGTCAAGGCTGCATGGCCGCGCCACCCCGCGGTACGTCGAAGCCGAGAGCTCCTCCTCGTCCTCGGTGCATCTCTTCGAGAGGATGGACTCTGGGTTGTCCCTGAGCATGACGTCGCGTCATGGTGTGGAGCACGCCGAACGCGGCGTGGCTACGCCGGAACGCTCTTCCTCGAGCAACACGATGGCAACCATACAGAGCCGCATCAGACCAAGCAACAATCTTCTCAAGGAGGGCTCCCTACACCGATCTGCAGCAGAAAAAAGGAGGACTTCGCGCCGGAGGCAACAAGGCAGCGACGTTTCCAGCGCGGACATGTACAGCAGCAGCATGTCCAGCGGCAGCAGAAGCTCATCGGGCGCCGCCAGCCTGTCTGCCTCCACGAGCCCGATGGCGTCGCAGGCGCCGCATGCGTTTGCTAATCCCTACTACTACTACTCGCCGCCGGTGATGACACGGGGCATTGCGCCGCCGGTGTATGCACCTAAGGTGTCGCGCTCAATGAGGCGGCGATGTCGGCAGGAAATCCTGGAGAAGCGGCTGGCGCGGCTGCAGATGCTCAAGCACAAAATCGCCACGGTGTTCCATCACCGCCACGACCATCACCACCACCACCACCACCTCGGGGGCGGCCAGGAGGCGGGCCCCTCGTCCAAGAGCGTCGTCCGCGGCGCAGGCCACTTCAACACGCCGTGGCAGTACTTTACGAGCATGTTCCACCGCGCGAAAGGGAAAGATAAGAACGCTAGGAGCCGGACGGTGGTAGGCGTGCCGGAGAAGAGGCGCGGCGGTGACGGGAACATGCACGCGCTATTCGACGCGGTGCAGCGGCACTTGAAGGGCAAGCGGAGGGCACCGGCAGGTATGAAACTGAGGAGGAAGGCCAGCCGGGTGCGGGGCAAGAAGATGCATTGGTGGCAGCGGGGCATGGCAGGGGTGACGGCGGGCAGTAGACCACGACGCCGTTTAGGACATGGAAAGGCAGGGTGGCTGTAGGTCTTATTTCTTGCTTATTGCCTCTCCACATTCACTTCCGGTTGTTTCATGAACTTACAAAAAAGTTTCAGTCTTCCGGCCTGTTCGCTGGTTTGTTTCTGGGCTGATAAGCTCGGCCGGTGCTGATTTATTGTGAGAGAAAAATACTATTGACTGACTGATAAACCCTGACCGAAACCAACCAGCGAAAGGCTGTTTCATGTTAACAGGACACCGACACCTAAAGTTGACAAGTAGCGTGTGGGTGTTTCACTGTTATGTATATGTAGCTCTGATATGAGAAAGGTTACCCGTTTCTTGGCTATCTGTTTATATTGGTTCTGATTTCGGCCCGTTGTAATCTGGTTCGATTTTCTAGATAAGATGGTTTCTATTGGTTCTCAGTACGACGATTTGCTCGTCTCATAAGTCATAACCATGATCAGTTTATGATGAATTCTTGCCGTTCAGTTTCTACTATCAGCCTGTTTGCTTATTGGTTTCAGCCAGAGCTTATCAGTCAGTCAACAGTGTTTTTCTCTTCCAACAAATCAGCATCAGCCAGACTTATCAGCTCAAAAACCAACCAGCGAACAGGCTCTATATATTTGCCATCTGCAGAGAGAGACCAAAAACGGGATGCTTTTTTGATGCATTCATTATATTTCTATTTTTATTGCAATTTCCAATGGGAATGGCAGAGGAAATAGGGTTGGAGCAAGTTTTGTGTGATCCACATCCACCGGTGCTGAATAGGTCTAATTGGCAACTTCACAAAGTCCGGTAGATGGACTGCTATTTGTTGTGCACGAAAAGGCAATCGTATTTTTAGTTCTCTGGTAGAGACAAGGAAAAAATTCAGAAAACAAAAACGAGAAGATATTCAGGCAGAGTCGCGGATGATCCGTTCCAACGTCCGACTGGATCATCTGATCAACCAGAGCAGGCAAATTCCTACAGCTATACGTGACCTTAACGAACCCGGACTGGACTGCTTTTCTTCTCCCGTTCACCCCGCCTTGCGCGCGACCGCGCGTCCTCTCTTTCTTTCTAGTGCCGACGAGTGGCGACGACCCGACGACTGTACGACCGCCGCCGCATCCCTGCGCCATCTGCCCAGGTCTTCGTCGGGCCCTTCGCCAGCGACGAGCACCCACCAGGTATGCCCACCCCTTCTCTCCCTTTCCCGCTGCGCGAAACCGTGCACCCAAACCATGGCTATTCGATTCGTGTTACTTCTTGCCGCCGCGTCGCACGCTCTCAGGCGACACGGGCGGCTCCCGATCCGGCGCCGCCACCTCCAGCTCCTCACCCCTCTCCCGTCTTGCGGTCACCCGAGCACGCCGCAGGAGGTCCGTGCGGCTGCAATGACGGCGGCGACAGGGCAAATCCCATCCCCACTTTCTCCTTCCCTCTCGTTTTGTCAGATCGGGTGCCTTCGCGGGCGGCAACCGGCAACGGCGGCCGCCCGCAGCGGCCTGCGCGCGCGGCAGACAGACGCACGACTCGGAGGGGCGGCGTGTCCGCATGTGGGCGCGCTTTGGGTGGTGCCGCGGTGTTCGGTTCGGCGTGTAGTGGTGACGGAGTTTCGTCCGGCGCGGTGGAGGCGATCTGCGTGTGGGCGGCAGCGGCTCGCGACGACCCAGATCCACACCGGGGGAGGGCGAATCTGGTGGGCCGGCGTTCGGATCCGGCCGGTTGGGCCCCTGCGAAGGTAGCGGCATGGCGAGGCCGGCGGCGACAGGGCGGCAGTGAGGGGTGTCAGGAGCTACGAAGGAGGCGCGTGCGTTGGCGTAGCACTGCAGCATCGACTGCTTGAGGAGACTGCTGAGGAGAGCGGCAAGTTGGTGGCCACGGAGGCATGGCGGCCTGCATGGTTGGCCGTTGTGGCGCCTGTGGTTGCGCGTCCGCGGTGCTACTAAGCACGCTGATGTTGCATTGGTGGCGTTTGCGCGTGGATGCACGGCGGCGTGAGGGCCGTGTGGTGGCTCGGCAGCACAGAGGCTGCGGTGGGTGGCTGTGGCAATGCTTGGTGTTTTCAGCATCAGGGATGTGGCAGCAGAAGCTGCACTGGTGGTGGAAGGAGCTTTGAAGTGTGGATGGCAACGAGGGAGTTGTTGGGTGCACCTTGCACAGTGTGGTAACTTGGTTGCCATGTCAAGGGTGTGGGCATAGATTGGCGGAGAGCAGCAATGAGGGCGTAGGCGTAGTGGACGGGGTGCAAAAGCTCTGTGTGGCAGTTGATGGGTGATGACACGGTGAGGCTAGGTTCCAGTGGTGGGAGACCGGCGTGGGACGGGGTGGCCAGCAGGAGCATTGCCACATCAGCTTGTGTGGTGTGGCGGTGGGCGGTCACGCATTGTGGTGACCACTCAAGCCCAAGGAGGGCCTATGAGGGCAGTCGGACGCAGCAAGCTTGACGCAGCTGATATCTATGTCACGGTGCCTTGGTTGTGTGCATTGTTGTTGTAGTTGTTGGATCTCGAAAGACGCGGTCAGCTTTGTAATGGCTAGATGCAGCACTTAGGTATCGCCTTGGTGGCTTGCAGCGGACTGCTGCTGCTAACTCTGCCTGAAAGGGGTAGTCTGGTGTAGGACAGCTCGATTGACGGTGCAAGCGGTGACGATGGCACGGGGATTACACAGTGTGCAGCGGTCTGCGACGGCTAGCCCTGCATGACAGCGGCTGGCTCGGTGTGGGACATTGTCAGTAACAATGGCGAAAGTAATGATGATGGCATGTTGATTTGATGGTTTCATCTTTCAATGATGATGGTGGTGCATTGTGGTGACTGGCAGGGTGGTAGTGTGGAGCTTCTGTAGTGGTCATGGCTCAGTCTGCAGTGCGTGGTATAGTGACAGAGCAGTGGTACCATAGTGTTGTGTGGCACGAGTTGAGGTCTTGGTCTAACCGGCTGTTGTTGGTTTTGTTGCTTATGGTTGTTTAGTTTTGCTTCGTTGCTTTCTAGTAGCTGTTGTTGCTTGACTCTTTGGGGTTTAGTTGCTATGTTGTACTGCCTAGCCTAGGCTTCTCCTCCTTTTTAATATATTCGGTAGTTCTCCTGCTTGTTTCGTTTCAAAAAACAAAAACCTGGCTATCTGGGTCTGATCTACTTACACGTACATACATGTATTGTGCCTACTAACTTCAATCATTTTTTTTTCTAAAAAATTATTTTGTGCACATGTGTACGCCCATGTCCTTTGCTGGCTCCACCCTGATCTCAGGTCGGTTTCACCTAAAGTTCTGTTGATTCTGGATTTATTCCTTGACGCAGCAGCTGAAAGATGGATGCGAACAGGCGCCAGAGTGGAATTCAGCAGTTGTTGGCTGCAGAGCAAGAGGCTCAGCAGATTGTAAATGCAGCTAGGGCTGGTAATACTATCTTACTTTCGGCACAAATATTACAAATCAAGCATAATGCTCGAGAGCAAGTACCTTGTGCATAAGAGTATCCCTGTATTTTGATCTACCAATTAATCTTTATGTGGATGTTCACATTTTAGGTAGAAACATGTTCTATTCTGAGCTATAGTGAGATCAGCATCTAGTTTGTAGAATTGGCTTTGGTGTACTGCCTTTTTTTTTTTTGCTTTAGTCTACAGGCTTGCTCTTGTTACGCCATGCCATATCACTGGAAAGTCACATGTTAACTGTACAAATTTGCATAATCCAAGTCAGAAAAATATCACTTGTCCTTCACTGATTAGATAACCATGGTCCAATGCAAAGCTCTTGCTCTAGAAATGTCTGTTCAGCTTCTGCAGATAATATCCGTGATTATAATTGATTTTGATGGGCTGCAGTGTAACATTTTCTGTGTTCCACAGCTAAGTCAGCAAGGCTTAGGCAAGCCAAGGAGGAGGCTGAGAGGGAAATAGCTGAATACCGTGCCCAGATGGAGGCTGAATTCCAGAGAAAGGTTGCAGAGGTATGTCACTAGCCCAACATGCTCGAATGTTCACAAGATCACAGAGCCTGAGTTTTATGTATTTGTTGTTTCCAGAGCAGCGGTGACTCTGGTGCAAATGTTAAACGTCTTGAGGAAGAGACAGCAACAAAAATTGAACAACTCAATCAACAGGCTGCAAGCATATCCCCAGAAGTCATTCAGATGCTTCTGAGGCATGTCACCACTGTGAAGAACTGAACGTTGTGCTCAAAATATGCTTGCAAGTTGCAATATTGTACGTATTATCTATATATTTATTAGTACAAGAAAGTGGTAATAAATGAAAATTTCACTTTTAGCTGCAATTTTATGTTCTTAATCGTAGAATAAGGTGTGGCATGGGAGCAGCAAACCTGTCCTGTACAATCAATACTCGTTCATCAGTTGGTACATGTAAATGTTTTTTCTTTCTTGTTTTCTTTTTGATGAAATGTTATTTTTGTCAGTCTTTCTGAAAAGAGTGACTTTTTATTTCCAATCTCGGAAGACCTCTAGACTCTAGTTTATACCACCAAATGAATACACTATGTAATTATAACATTGGGTCTATCTAATTCAAACTTGGTGCTACAGATGCCTTTTTCAATAATTTCAGTCAAACGTAAAAAGGATTGACTTAGGACAACATTTATAAATTAATCTATTTTCGGCATTGTTTCCTTAAACGGTTGTTTAGCTGTTTACATACGTTTAAAAAATGCAACATGGTGGTGCACGTTTTCGTTTAATTAACCGTCAAATCTATTAAACGATTGTTTTGCTTGTTTAAGTAGCAGTTTAGCCCAACTAATGGCTAAACGCCGAGTGTTCGACCGTTTACCGTTTTGGCACTGCTTAGCGTCTCGGACGCTTGCATGTGATCTGCGCCGTTCGCTGATTTTTTCCCTCCCCGCACGCACACCCTGGCCCGTTGCAGCGCCTGCGCGTCCGGATGACTCACCTTGCATGCGCAGCACGTAATGTCCGCCTCGATTCGAGGCCATTCACTCCGCCCTCGTCGCGCCTCGATGGCCCCGAGCGCGTCGCGTCCACATGACACCGGCGTGCCGCGCTCCCCGTCCACTGGCCCCCAGCTTGCCCCATTCCTTGGCGCCCATGGCATGCCACCATCATTCCCCGCACCTCTGACTCTCTGAACAAACACATGCGGCATGAAACACTTGAATGCAACATACGTATGAAACAGATGAAACATCTGGAACATACACTTGCAACATATGTGTTAAACATATGGAACATTCAGATAAAACACTTGCAACATGCAAACACTTACCACAACATAAGACTGAAACAATTGAAATATTTGGAACATATTGTTGCAACATATGTGAAACATATACAACATCCAGATCAAAACGCTTACAACATACGTCTAGAACAAATGAAATATTTTGAACAAACCTCTGAAACACTTGCAACATGCCACTGAAACACTTGCAACATATGCAACATCCGCGATATACTTTTGCAACATCCATATGAAACAATTGCAACGTACCTCTGAAATGTCTGAAACACTTGAAACATACGCTTGCAACATGTGCTTTCATCGCAAACATCTCCTTGCTGAGGTCGCACGTCGCAGTGGCCACGGTGTCGATAGTGGCCACAACCTTTTGGTGGGGAACGGCGACGACGGGGATGGAGTGCAGCAAACAGCGAGCTGGAGCGGGCACGACGGGGATGGAGTGCAGCGCGGCGACAGATGGGGCGCAGCGCGAGATGGAGCACGATGCTGGATGGGGGAGTCGCACGGCGTGGGATAGGGTGCGCAGCGGGGAAGATGGCAACAACGAGCAAACGACGCAGCAGCACTGATGGCGAGCACACGACTGGGAGATTTTTTTGAAAGAGATGGGGAGACACAAAGAGAAAGCAGGCCTGTGGGTCTGGTAGCGCGCATACCCGAAAAACAGCATCCGTACGAACACATGCACGCTCCTGAGCATTACCGTTACCGTTTAGAAGAACACTGATCTTTGACGGATGGAGTCATTCCTACCGTTTTTTTTGTTTTTTGGCTCTTTTTTGAAAGTTTTTCACAAATCTGCCCTTGATGGTATGCTTTCAAAATCTAGACCCTCACCTCGACGCCGACATAATTGGCGTCGTGCATACACATATCGGCGCCGGAGCATTTGGCGCCTAGCGGCTGGGGCCACATCGATGTCGACGCAGACGTGGCGGTGATGTGGCAACCTGCTTGGCGCCGTAAATCTTGGTGTCGAGCTCGGCGCCAAAATTTTTGGCGCTATGTCTTTCTTACATGTGGGCTCCCTTTCTCTTTCTTCGTCTTCCTCTTCTCTACCGTTTTTTGTCGCTTGTCCAAGTGCTGAGCCGCCCGCTGCCGCCATCGCACCACCGCGGCTCGCCCGTCCCCACCGCGCCCCTCACCCCAAGCCGCCCCGCCGCCAGTAGGCCTCTCCGCCGCGCCCACCGCACACCCCACCGTGCGCCACGTCCCGCCACGCTTGCCGCACGCCCCGCCGGGCGCCACGCCCTGCGGCTCACCGCGTCCGCCACTCATCGCCGCGGCCTGCCCGTCCCCGTCCTCCGGCGACCCCGACAGCCTGCTCATGTCGCCGGCGACCCCGTCTGCCTGCTCCCTGTCCGCGAGCCGGCCCCTCCCCGCTAGCCACCCTATCCCTGTCGCCGGCCGAGGGCCATCGCTGCCGCTGGCCCTCAAAGTGCTGAGGGCAGTGGCCCTTGGAAAGGGATGAGGGGAGGGGCTGGTGTCCGGCTGCAAGGCCGTAGCACCCGCCATGGCCGGCAAGTTCGGATAGTGCTTTTCGCCTCCAACGTCTCCTGCTCTGTTTGTTGCATTCGTCGGACAGGTAAAATTTGTGAATGTAGGTACTTAGTTAGCTTGAATTGTAGCTTTAGTCTGATTATTTGGTACTTACTAGTAAATATGATGACGTTGGTAGTTTATTGACTTAGTGATTGTAGATAGATACATACAAAGATACATAGGTACATAGATATAGTTAGATAGGTAGTTGTATATTTAGTTATTTAGATAGAATTTACCTATTTAGTTACTAGATTATATCTATATACTTAGTTATTAACCTATTTAGTTACCAGATTGTATCTAGGCTCTCCAGTGTTCTTCAATGTAGGCTTTTCAGTGATTCTGAGTAGATTTTTCAAGAGCATTTAGAACACGATACAACGGCTAGCAAACCTGCCTCCGCCTATATATATGCATTCCAGGATGTATTGCTAACCAAAAGCAAACCAAACTAGTATCTAGTTTCGTTGGAGTAGAAATGTCTGGAGGGTCATCTAGAGAAAAGGGTTCTGAGAGTGGGAGAGGAAAGGGAGGACGAAGGGAACTCCCATTGTGTGGGAGAGGTCTCTTGGGCCTGATTTCTTTGAGGAACCAGTGTATCAGTTTCCCCCCGAGAGCAAGAGTGATTTTACTAAAGAGTGACCTCTCAGAGGATACAATAACTGGAAGGAAGATTGGTCAAAATGCATGTATGGTGAGGATTGCATAGTACAGATATTCACCGAGGGGATCGATGGAGGTCGTCGCTTCTTCAAATGCCCACGAGCAAATTGCTATTACATTTCGTTTGTTAAATATGTTTCTCGAATACCCTTACAACTCATAGGACATACTTATTGTAGTCTTCTGAGTTCGAAGAAAACTATGGGTTCACTAGGTGAGTCGATCCTCAACCAATTTATCCGCATCAGCAGTACATCTACTACCTACAGGACCGTATCTTCGATCTAGAAAGGGAAGTTAGCAGCGGTTACAAGGAATACGAAGACGACAACAACAACAACAACAATGGTGCAGGTTCACAGGAGACACTCTACAATGATCCATATTACACCTACCCTAATCACAAAAACAAGGGGCCTCCGCCGTCACCCCCACCGCCACCACCACCAACAACAATGGGAGGGTACTGTGGAGAAGGTGCAACACAATTTGTTATGTGGCCACACTACTAGAACGATCCTATCTTATTCACATGACACATCCATGTGTTTGTTGTTTGGTTTAATTACCCCAGGCATGTTAGGTTCAATCGGAGGAACTATGTATCCTTATTTGGTACATGTTCTCACATGCATTTCGTGTGCTTGTTGTTCGCTTCAATTAACTAAGGTATGTTAGGTTTAGTTCAAGACCTCTGTACCCTAGTTTGGTACATGTTCTCACATGCCATTTCATGTGTTGTGCGTGTTGAATTATATAATGCCCTACTTCGTTAGGTTTTATTTGCAGTACGTGATCTCATTTCACTACGTTTGCAATATTAAACTTAATATTATGACCATAGATAATGAAAACAACAACATAATGAAAAGTCCAATACTATAACACATTAAACAATACAATAATACTAGAAATACATGCCGACAAACTAAATAACGCAGTACATGACCTAAGTATATCCATACTTAAAGTGCATTACATAACAACACAATGAAAAGTTCAACAGTAGACAACATTGTTCATGAATAAACCATAAAACTAGCAAGTCATAGAGACTACTGAGTGCAACGAGGCCACTTTTCCTTCCTCAGGGCATCGGGATTTTCCTTCATCACTGCTTTTGCTCTGCGTGCACGCTCAAGCTTCTTCTCCCTCTCCTCCCTGTACGCAGCAACACGCCTCCTTTCCTCTTCTTCATTGTGCTCCTTTTCTGTAGCCTCATCTCTGTGTCTCTTCTCCATCATCTCCTTGTCCTCTGTCTCCCACTGCAACAGTTCTGCATCCATTCCTCGTCTTCAGGCTTGATCTCAGTGTCGATCCACTGCTCAAAATCACAGAGCGGTGAAGGGGTCTGCAACAAATGCAATTGTTACAAAACAAAAAAATCATGCAATATTTCATATGACACAAAATAATTATTACACAACATCAATTCCTCACCATCTTGTTAATGCGGCGCTGACGAAGTGTAGGCTCAAACACAAAATTGGAACACATCCAATACCTCTACCTATACGTGTCCTCTTCATCGGACTTGGCTACCTTGCAAGGATCGCCGCAAAAACACATGAGCACTGAAACACCACTAGGCAGAGGCAATGGGTCGAAGGTATTTTCAGTCATCCAGCCATAACTATAATTTAACTAATTTCGTTCTAAGAACCGAAAACAATTAATATTAAACCCTAAACCTAGGGTTTCCCATTTGATCCACAACAATAAACCCATAATATAACAACATGCGCTGAGGTTACCTTGGTTTGCTACCTTTTCCACGCCTTGGCATCCTACGGTTGTATAATACAAATATTAAAAATTGCATGAAACCCTAAGTAATGACGATTCTTAGGTTGAAAAATTCGACTAATATATACCGAATCGATAGAAAAAACTAGGAGAGGAGCGAGAATACATTGCTCTTGAAGATCTACGGATCAAATCAAAGTTTCCAATGTTCAATATGCCAATTCGTGAGGTAGGGTGAAGTGGGGAGAGAGAAAACCCGAGAGGGGGGAGAAAGAAGAGGAAGAAGCCTCGGCCAGGAAGGTTGGGCGGCTGGTTAAAACACCACATCGGTGCCGGGGTCATTGACGCCAAGCCCGGCGCCATAGATCTTGGCGTCAAGCTCGGTGCCAATGACCCCGGCGTCGAGGTGACTGCCATGTGACCGTCACGTCTACATCGACGCCGACGTGGCAAAAAAAAAAAACCAAAAAAAATTCGGTCATTCCTACCAGGCTACCACTACATTTGCCTACCCTAAAGGCCTAAACAGCGACATGGTCTGTTGCTCATGGTAACCATGGTCCCAGAATTGAAAAAAAAAATGGTATCATATTATGCATTTTAGATGTTGCATAAACATGTTCAGGTCGTGTCTAGTTGTATTGGCAACGGATGCAATAACCTTGTGAATCCGGTTTGTAGTTTGTTTTTTAATCTCTGCATCCTTTTTTTTAGAAGGACTTCTTCCTTACTCCTTACAGTAGCAGAAACGAGCAGGCCGGACGTTTTGATTAGGCTGTTTATCTGGGCCTCCAGTCTGAGGGTGCGCAGGCTAACGGGCGGCCCATTTGGGTGTCAACACGCTCAAACGCAGCAAATATCTCTTGTCGTCCGGGTCCCCTCATCAAAACCCCATCCAATTCCAAACCCCCTCTTGTCGCCATTTCACCACCGCTTCCGCCTCTCCCGTCGCGGCCAGCCAGCCGCCTCTCCCTCGCCACCCATGGCCACCGCAGCGCGCGCCCTCGTCGCCGCACGCCCGGCGCGTCCGCTCCTCCCGTCACGGCGCCTCCCGTTCTCCTCTTCCATCCGTCCCCGCGGCAACGTGGCGGCGTTGGGTCCATCCGCTGCATGGCGCGGCGGCCGGATTCCTCATATTCCCCGCTGCGGTCGGGCCAGGGCGGTGACCGTGCGCCGACGGAGATGGCCCCGCTGTTCCCTGGCTGCGACTACGAGCACTGGCTCATCGTCATGGACAAGCCCGGCGGCGAGGGCGCCACCAAGCAGCAAATGATCGATTGCTACATCCAGACCCTTGCCCAGGTGGTAGGGAGGTAATTGTTATTCCTCATTCAATCAAGTATGTCCATAGGTTTGGATGTATTGCGGGGATGAGGATGTATCGCGGGGATGAGAAATAATTTTGGATAATTCGCTGTATGTTGTTGCAGCGAGGAGGAGGCGAAGAAGAAGATATACAACGTATCCTGCGAGCGCTATTTTGGATTCGGGTGTGAAATTGATGAAGAGACCTCCAACAAACTCGAAGGTGACTTGTTTGGTTCCTTGTACAAGAGTCAAGACATGCAATGTGATGTCATCTTTTGTTTCAATTAATGTATTTTGCGTTGTGCTATAATGTTGATATAGTCGCCTAGTGTGATAACATGGAAAATTAAGATTTATGTTTGTGTTGAAGCCTTAGTTATGTTGAACTATTACAATGTTGCAGTCTATTCGTGATTGTGTCCGTGACACATTACTTGTTTGAGCTTAGGTACTATGTTATTGTGTTCATTGAGCAATTTTATCATGAAAAGTGACGTGTTGACATCTACTACTAGAAATATGCTATGCTTATTCTTTCTTCAGTGACCGTTTGCAGATATCGTGCTATGCGTGTGCTTGTTTCTATAAGCATTAACAGATATGACTCTTCTGAACTTTCAGTACACTACATGTATCACTAGTTGCACTAACTGCGGTTTGTGTTTTGGATAAAACAGGCCTTCCAGGGGTTCTATTTGTGCTTCCTGACTCTTATGTTGATGCTGAGAACAAGGATTATGGTGGTAAGTTTATTACCTAAGTGTCCTGTAGCTTTATGTTGAGTGTGGTTCATTTCGTTTTTTGAGGACTATTTCGTGCTGCTGTTAATAGATCCTTGAATTTTCACTGCCCTGGTAGAAAACCTCACTTTCAGCTGTATTGTTCACAGTTGCCTATTATTGTTTCCCAGTAATCTGTTGTCTTGCTAGTTTGTCATAGTTCTACTTCCTGGATTCCTTCTATAGTAGTTTTTAATCTAGCAATCATATTATTACTGCACTGCACGTTCCTCTAACATAACTCATAAGTGAAGAAATGTTGTTCGAAAGAGATGTAAAGCAGTGTGAAGTTGAGTTTGGTTCATTTTATTTTTTGAGGACTATTTCATTCTACCTATTAATAGATCCTTGAATTGTCACTGCCCTGGAAGAAACGCTCACTTTGTGCTGTATGGTTCCCAGTTGCCTAGTATTGTTTCCCAACAATCTTTGTCTTTAGTTTGCCATAGTTCTACTTACTGGATTCCTTCTATAGTGTTAGTCGCTGAATTCTTACTCTTGGTAGTAGCAGAATTCTTACTCTCATCGAGAGAGGATGACACTAGGAGTTGGGGCAATTTTCTGGTTTATTTCTCAATGCCGTGCCAACCTGAGGGGTTGGGGGTACATATTTATAGGCTATTAGCCAGCCAAGCATATGCCAAGATGATAGTCTAAGATGCTGTCCTAAATGTTAAGATGCTGTTCTAGATGCTAAAATGTTGTCCTCTAAGATGCTGTCCTCTAGTCTAAGATGCTGTCCTATGCTGTCTAAAAAACAGACCATGCAGCCACAAAGACCATGTGACCAGCACAACCCCACAAAGACCAGCACATGAGACTTATCCCATCATATAGTAGTTTTATATCTATCAATCATATTATTGCTGCGTTGCACGTTCCTCTGGAATAAGTGAAAAATTGTTTGAAAGAGATGTAAAGGAGTGTGAAACTGCTAATAACATTAGTTTTTTTTTGTCATTCAATGCTAAACGGTTAGTTAAAAATTTGACATTTGCTGTTATTATTTTTGTTTAGCTTGCCATATGGCATGAAATTTCACTTTTATTGGATGCCTCACATTTCATTTGTTATATTCATGGACTACAATTCATTGCTTTTCTGTCGAATGCCTTGTCTCTTCCCAATTTATCAAGTGTGTCTGGTGTCGTTTACATTTCAATCCTTTCTAAGTTCAGTCTGTCATTAAATTTCTTTCATTCGTAATCATCTTAATATGAACATATCTTAGGTTTTCATGAAGTTATCTTTCTTTGCAGCTGAGTTATTTGTGAACGGTGAAATCGTTCAGCGATCGGCAGAAAGGCAGAGAAGGGTGGAGCCCGTGCCTCAGAGAGCTCAAGATCGACCACGGTACAGTGATCGGACCCGCTATGTGAAGCGGAGGGAGAACCAGTCTTACCAGCGATGATGTTGCTGTTTCTGGAGATGGAAAATGCCACGGTTTCCACAAGTTGCCTAAATGTGATGCTGGAGATGTAGCAGCCGCCCCCCCAACTACAGATGAGAATGGCATCCGTTGTGTTTGCTGCGCTTTTTAAGCTTTACATGCTTATGCATTTGGGCTTGTACCTCTGGTTGATATGAACGATGTATCCTTTTAACTTCGCATGATAATTTAAAGTCGTTTTTAGTCAGAAATTAATCAATTATTGATGATTATCAGATGATATACTGCATGATCATCTCGGAAGGGGCCCGTCCGTTGGACCGTTCCCCTCTCACAAACTGCTTCAGTGCTCCAACCCGTTATTGTTGCAGGTGACATAACGCCACATTGCCACTGACAGTCATATACTCATAATATGCATGCCGTCACTATCACATTCTCGTAGAGATAACGGTATGCAGGCAATGCAGCCCGCGATATGCAACGTGTGGCGCAGACAGGTGATCCACGATTCGCTGCCTTATCCTCGCGAGCTACTGCCGCACCAGCCTGCGAGCCTCCATTGAGAGCGCTCAACCAGCCAAGCGAGCGTCAGAGGCGAGCAGAGAAATGGCGGGAGCGAACTTCCTCTCCACCGCGCCGCTTGTCGCCCACGGCGTCGCTGCCAGCTCTTCCATTTGGACTCCGACGCGGAGGTACCCGCACGTACGTACGCCCCCTGAACTTACTGTTTGGCCTGTGCAGATTCCATTTCAGCCCCGACGGAATCGCGTGATCTTTGGTTTGCCTGCGCAGATTCGAGTGTGCTGCCGGGCTGACGCTGAGGGCTCGGAGGCTGCTGCTCATAAAGAGCGTCTGCAATTCCGTCGGAGACAATTCATTGGCACCTGCATCGGGACCGCCATTGGTTTGGTACGTGGTAGTGCTACCAATTTTGACAAAAGATCAATGCCCTTGTGCATTGGTGCCACAGAAGTAAACAAATGTAGCATGATGGTAGAGCATCAAGTTGTTATACCGTTTTCAGAGGAATAGCCTTTTGTTCCAGAGGTGATAAGCTGAACTTTATTTATTTATGTCTTGGGTTAGGAAATGATCGACGGCTCTACGAGATTCTCTGGAGTGGCTACTGCAGCTGATCTCATAGAGCGTAGACAACGGTCTGAGTTCCAATGTAGGTCATCTCACATTGTTACTTCCATTGCCCCCCCTTGAATTTTGTGTTTCATTCTCACCATCGAAATTGAAGTCTTTTGACTCTTGTTTGCAGCAAAAATCAAAGACACCCTCTACGTAACCATAAAGGTGATACACACACTTCATTTCATTGTACTCAGTGTTTTTCTTTCACCTATCTATCACTTCTGTTGCTGAAACAGTGAACCTGATAATCTTTTGAAGGCCAAGCCAGAGCTCGTTCCATCTTTGTTGACCTTGGCATTGAATGATGCCATCACATATGACAAGGTCTGGTCTCTGAATGGCTTTATATCATTAGCATTTGGGTCCCTCTGTTGGTTTAGAGAGTTGGTTCAATTCTTCTGCAGGCCACAAAAACTGGAGGTGCAAATGGGTCTATCAGGCTAGGTAGCATTTTCTTTTTCCTTTTCTCTTCTTCAGTTCTTCAGTTTGTTTTTTGTTTTGAGAGAAGAAAATGCTCAGCTGAAGATAATCTAACAAGTAACAAGTTTCTCGACCTTGATGATCCATTACGTTGCTCCACCATTTAATACTTAATTTTCAAATAAAGCCCAGAAACAAGCAGACCTGAAAACAGTGGGCTCTCTGCTGCATTGGATTTGCTGACTGAAGCCAAAAGGAGATAGATTCCTTTTCCAAGGAGGTCCCATTTCATTTGCAGATCTGATCCAGTTTGCAGGTTCGATAATTTCCAGTGCAGTTTTACTACCATTATGAAACCTGTTGATCTTTACTGGCAGGCTCTTCCGTACATCGGCTAGTTTTAAATTAAGAATTTTGTTTTTTTCTTGAAACAGCACAATCAGCACTGAAGAGATCGTTTCTTGACGCTGCCATTGCCAAATGTGGTGGAAATGAAGAGAAGGAAGAACCCTATACTCTGCATATGGTTCAAATGGGCAGGTATGCACTGTGTGCCATATCGCTCCTTATGCCACACGATGCTGCATGTGTTCAGTATATACTCTGCACAAGCTGCTCCTAATTTAACGTGTTAAATTATTTTTATCTCTACGTTTGTTTTGACTATTTGCCACCACAGTGGGGTCTGTTCGATAAAACATTCGGGAGAGCAGACACAGAAGAAGCAGATCCAGAGGGACGAGTGCCTGAGTGGAGCAAAGCTTCTGTGCAGGAGATGAAGGATAGGTTCGTCGCTGTTGGGTTGGGTCCTCGCCAGGTCACTACCACCTCTTTATTAGATTGCTGCAATAAACTGGATCTCATTATTGCCATGAGAGATAGCAAAAACCATGAACCAGTCTCACGTTTAACAGAAGATGGCTCCTTTTGCAGCTTGCTGTTATGTCAGCGTTCCTTGGACCTGACCAGGCTGCTACCGAGGAACGACTGATAGCTGATCCGGATTGCCGTCCATGGGTAGAGAAGTACCAGCGGAGCCGCGAGACTGTCTCCCGGACTGACTATGAAGTAAGATTAATTGATCAATGTGCTGGCAGTGCACAGTTATTCTGACTTGTGCTGCCTATTTGTTCTGTATGGCAGGTAGACCTGATAACCACACTCACAAAACTGAGCTCCCTTGGCCAGAAGATAAACTATGAAGCCTACACATACCCTAAGCAAAAGATTGACCTGGGCAAATTGAAACTGTAAGAGATGCTTGCCGGGCACCTGCATCAGTCATATCCAGGATTCAGGAGCTCATGATATGGTAGGCTCTGGCTGCTAAAGAGTGATTTGATTCGGCACTGACCTTCATGTATTGGCTACTCATCAGCTGTCAGACATTCTTCCCACGGCAATTAGGATGGTCCCTGTACATGGTTAAATTGGTTCTCCGATTTTGTATTGTGTGAGCCAAACGCTTGTGAGAAGTGCGGTGTTGTGTAAATCCCTTTACGTACGTGAGACGATTGAAGAATTAATAGAAACAAAGTGCAAGTGATATGACTGAACTCATGTTTCTGATCAGAAGCAGGACAGCAGGCATCAGGCGCCCTTCCGCCTGCGGCCTGCCGCTCCTGGCTCGGCATTTTCACGTCGGCCCGGCTGCCTACGATGATGGACAATTGGACATCGTGTAAAATGATCCGCACGACCTCCTGATCAGTCGTTGCCATAATATGCCCATCACAAACAAACGCATTGACCGGCCTCAGACTCAGAGGTCATCAGAGCGTTGCCGTCGAGCGGCGGGGCAGCCTGAGCCCTGAGGTCCTCACGGTCACGGCCATTTTTGCCTCCACCACTCAAACAGTCTCGCACCACTGCCGCAAATGAGAACAACGTGATCGAAAACATACGGAACAATTAGTTGCACCACGAAGTAAAAACCCTTGGTCAAGTACAGTACAATGGCTCTAAAATCTTCTTTTGAAGTCTAGTACAGCTGACATCTTTCGCAACACGTTCCCAAACAAACCAAGTCGAGGTCTCTGCACCCTAGACATCAGCCACTGGTAATCCTCCAGGGTCTTACCTGACAGGGGTTCCAAAAACTCGCATCTCTCCAGGATCTCGGGCGGAGGCACTCCGTGGATAAGGTTCGTGTCCAGCTTCGGCTTCCTCTTGTTCTTATCTTGAGGGACCTCTGGCACAGGGTTCTCAAGGTACAGTGGAGATGCTCCGGGGATGACGTCTTGGCGGAAGGGTAGGCTTCTAGCACTCTGCAGGCAGAAGTCGAACCACTGGTGGATCAGTGGAGATGGGCCTCTGGTTCGGCTGCCGATTTGGTCAGTCTGAAATCTTGTCGCGCATGGTATTGCCTGTAATGTATAAAACCATAACAATCAATAAGATAGTTCGAAACGACGATGCATTATGGAGTACATGAGAAAACCATAACATACCCATAGATCAGCCCATAGGCTGCTGCCTGACATGGGAACAACCACCGCGACATTAGACATTCGCTTTGCAGCAGGGATCACATCGCTGCTCCAACCCACTGCAACCCATACATCTCCAACACTAAATGATTTCAGATAGTTCATGCTGTCGAATAGTTGGACCTACCAAAGACAACCAATATCAAATCCAGCGCAATCAATCATAACAGAATTTTGGATGGCCCATATTAGATCATATATACATATACTCAAGAACGAGACAAAAAGGATGTGCTGTATCTGGTGCAAACCTGCTTCTGTAATCGTGTAAAGCTATTTAGGACTGCTTCTCTACCACCATTGACATCCATTTCCATATCAACTGTGTTATATGACGATCCCAGATGCTTCAGAACTGCACCAATCACCTCTCTAGGAGAATCGACCATTGAAATCCTCCCAGCAAGCTCAGGCCTCCACAAATCCTCCCAATCCTACAAATAAAAATCAATATGCTTAACACCTACCAGGTTTAACACAGCAAAGATAGTCAGCATCAATAAGTACAAGCAAAAAGTATGTCCCAGTAGTCAGTACTATGCTTCACATTTCATTTTGCCTAGGAAAAGGGAAGCATATAAACATGCCGTTGTAAGTTTAGGCTAATATTGCATATTTTTTCTCAAAAAAATGTTCACCTGTATTGGCTTCAGATTATGTGTTTTGAACTTGTTTTTCTTGTAAGCAATGACCATGGTGCCCCATCTGTATGGAACTCCCCATATTGTACCATTAGGATCTGCTTCTCCATTCTGGTTCCTGCACAAATGAACCTGATAGACTATAATGAAAATGCAAAGTACATAGAGGAACATTTTCACAGCCAATTTATAGAAGCTATGCTACAAAAAAGTCTTACGAGATCAGAGATAGTGTAGTGACTGGTGATTGGTGACTGACAAAACCCAAGACTAAGAAAATGTGCATGACTGAAGCAACTAATGAGCGATAGACTACTTTATTACTCCCCCCCATCTCCATTATAAGTTCCTTTTGCATTCTCTTTCAAAATAAAAGCAATTCAACAACCTCTAGACACTTTGGTATTTTTGTTTCTTTTATGTTGTTCCCCTAGCAAAAACAAACCCAATTCAGATCATGAAATGAGCCATCTTTTCCAATCTCTCCCTATGCCTACGTCTTTGTGTGGTCCTACTCCTAGCTACCTCCAAATGTTTGTACACTAAACTCGACAGCTAACTCCATTTAGCATGCCTACTGCACATAAGAGCTGAAGAGCATAAGGCTAAATGTCAGTCAATGATCGAGGATTCTAATTCTTGAGAACAATTCTAAAATGACTTATAACTTACAAGCAGAATTGATGGATCATTGAATATTAATAATATGCCAGCATCCAGTAGAGAATAGAAACCTACACAGGTCATAGATTTCTCATGGTAGACTGCATTTCTTACAAGCGTATATAATCTAATCAAATTCAACATGTAAATTATTTACCAAGGCAATGCAAGATCACAAACTTGTGGCAAAGTATACATAAGTGATAAACATTGTTAAGGAAAAGTAAAGGTTTCACTTCTCACCTTCCATCTGTCACTCAGGCTACGAAACCAATCCTGTTCTTCAGCATTCTTGACAGGCTCTAGCAATCCCTTACGGATGGCATAGCCAAGCCAGGAGTCACCAAGGGAAACGACATCAGCTGCCATTGCGGACTTTGGCTGAACTTGACCCTTGTCCATACATTGTGACATCTCAGAGAAGATCCCATCAAGATTAGCACGGAGCTCGGGACTGAATTTGAGCCTCTTCCCCTGAACTTCAACGAAATCCTACAAACAGAAAAAGAACATCTCACTAAATTTCACACCAACCACCATTCATTTTTCTTTTAAAGAATTCCAGGGTCAGCGGCCCTGGCCATACACCATTCATGCTTCCATGCTCACACAAATTTATGCAATTATGTTATGCTATGGTTTAACTATTAATCTGACAAAAGGGGATGCTTTGTCTATGGTGGATGAGGGCGACCAGACCTTAATCCAAGACGGAGGGAAGGAGCCACGGAGCGCGACGACCCGGAGGGGCACCGAGAGCGCGTAGGTCTTGGTCTTCCATTTCTGCAGCGCAGCCTCCCACTCCTTGTCCTCCTCCTCCTGCGTCGCCTCAACCACCGCAGCGGCCCCCGGAGGGGGCGGGAGCGCGAGGACTCGGGCACGGTTGGGGAAGAGAAAAAGGAGCGAGCACACGGTCAGCTGGAGCACCAGCGCCGCCACCGCGTTGGGCACCCGCTCCCAGCCGCTACGGCCAGGTGCGTCGGCCTGGCTGCCCGGTGGACGCCTCGAAGGCACTGCGGCGAGCTGCTTCGGCTTGCGACGGTGTACGCGGAGTCGGAGGCGGGAGGTGGGCAGGTAGTGGGTAGGGTGGTTGGGGATTAGGCCGGGGAGGCGAGGGTGGTGGGGCTGGGCAAGGAGGAGATGGAGCGGCTGGCCCTCCATTGCCGCTGCGGCGCCGGCGCTGCCCGGTTCCCTCGGAACGTTCCCTCTCGGAGTCGCCGTCCGGGCAGTGCCCTTCTGCTGCCGATGGGCTTATCCAGTTGTTCGCTTGTTCTCATACAAGGCCGGTCAGCTGAAAGCATTTTTGCTAAAACATGTGAATATATTACATGAACTTTTTTCTTTGAGGCCACATGGATTTATTTTGAACAAGCAGATTTATCTTTGAGCAAATATATTACACGAACTTTTTTTTTTCTTTGAGGCCACATGAACTTATTTTTGAACAAGCAGATTACATGAACTTCTGTCCATTGCTGACAGAGAGCCCAATTATCTCTCAAGCATATTAGCATTGATCTGTAGACGACCTACCTGGTAGTATGATACTTACAAGTTACAACCACAATTAAACATAAAATTAGCTTTACTCCACCAAATAACTGGAAAAGGAGCCCTTGGAACCTAATAGAAATGCTGCAAGAAACATTTTTCTTTGAACAGTCACATGTCAACATATGTAGGAGCTACAAAGAATTGATAAAACAAAGGTGAGAAAACAATGTCCACTACTGCAGCTATACCCTGACGAAACGAAGAGCAAGCTTATCCTGCTATAGATCTTCCTGTAGGAGTTTGTTCAACAGAGTGGTCAGGAGCGCATCCCTTTTCTCAGCACGTGCTTCTTCTCTCATCCTTCTTTGCTCCTCCCGTTCCATCCACGAGTGTTCCAGCAACAACCTCTCCTGCTCCAGCTTCTGCATTGTCTGCTGCCATTGTTGTTCGAAAACAACCCGCTCCTGGGCGCGTCTCTCCATCATCTCCTGCCACCGGACATCAATGTGCTGTTGCTGCACCAGGAAATCCTGCAGCAGTTCATGGATGCTTGAAATTCCTGCTCTTGACTTCTCAGACATTCTTTGATATTGCTGTTTCTTGTCATCAGCTTTCCTCTTTCTGCTGTGCATCGGCTTCTCATCATCACTTTCTTCACCATCATCATCCTCGTCATCAGACTCCCCAGATGACCGGTCACCACCAGGTCGCTTCAGTTTTCTTTTGACAGAAGTTCCAGATTCAGACTCAAGGAGTTGCCGCTGCATATTTCTAGCACGCTCTGTGAAGACGGCATGCAGCTCTTCAAAGAAGGGACAGTGCCTACCATTTTCTGGATCAGAAGTTTCTTTCCCCTGATGAAATGAAAGGATGCATAAAATTATGAGCTCGTGCCTATAATAAACTAAAGAATGAAGGTACTAACTAATCATTGAAATCACAAAGCAAACAAGAAGGTGGACAGACCACAAGACAAAGATGGACCAACTATGTGTACAAACAATAAACAATCAGCCAGTCCCTGTAAGTAGGAACTGGGTTTTCTTAAGCATAAAAGAAAAACTTCTAATACAAAGCTTGAAATTGGACCCACCGCCCAACGAACCCAACAGCAGAGTCAATCTGAACCTAACATGGAACTTCCAATTTTTCATCCCCTCCTGATGAAAAAATATAATTATCTATTTCCTGACATCCTCGTTGAGACAAAATACAAAGTCTTTTATAAATATTGCAGCAGAAGACCAATGACACATGACTACCGTGGTCTGCAGGAACATCACCAATAGTGCACAGGTTTTGCGCATTTTTCTCTCAATAAACCTAATCAGCGCATTCATGCTCTCACGCACCTAACAGGTAGTATCATAATTTTAACACCCCTCCTTTTTGCCAGCTATAATTTTTCTTTAATTGTTTGGATCGTTAAAATGTCACATTCTGAGCCAGTTCAAGTGCAATTTCTCAGACAAATTAACAAATGTGAAGAAAGCCTAAACTGAAAATCTTAACTTTAACTAAACCACCAATTCTGGATGATACCCTTGAGATTCCACATTGACTTTTCATGCATCATAGACTCATAGTCAACAAAGATAATGATATATGGATTTCCCTTTATATCACTACTAGTAATAATTCACTGTCCTAGATATCTGTTTAGTTATACTAGCTTCTTAAAAACATTTGTGCCATGTTTTTATTTCAGAACAAAACGAAGTGGAATACACCTTCTATGCGATTTTTGTGAAGAAAACTTGAAAACAGAAACAACAATTGGACTAAGAAAGTTATACAAAATATAGTAACAAAATCAAGCCTTGCATCTATGCGATATTTGTGAAGAAAACCTGAAAACAGAAACAACAATTGGACTAAGAAAGTTTTAGAAATCCCCTGTGCTGTAAATTAATTAGTACAAGATAAAAAAATATATTATCTATAGATCTTAGTATTACTAGGTATCCATCTACTTCAAAATGTGTAATTGAAAGCATCACGTTCCATCATGTGTAGCACAAATGTACAATGCAAGGATAAAGTCTGAAAAATCAGTTGTCTATAGCTATCATGAACATATAGAGGAAAGACACTCAACCTTGAATTGGAAGATAATTTGGTATCGCCAAAATTTGCACCACGAAATTGCAATTTCGTGAAATTCGGTTGAAATTCCAGAAATTTTTTAGAGATTAGCACATGAAGTATGTTTTTCTAAAAAAAATTGGATCTAAACAAATATTAATATGATTTATGACTACATATCTATTAAATAGAAGAATATGTAATATAAACAATAGAAAAATATAAGATTAGAGTTATATAGCACATGTATTAGTGTATTAAAAATTTCGGAGTTTTCTTTCGGCCACCATCGAAATTACCGAATTTCGTGAAATTCGGCCGAAATTTCGCCGAAATTTTGAACCCTGATTGGAAGAAATGAACAATTTCTAATCAGCAACAACGGAAGGCAGCAGAGTTTCACGATTGAATAATCCCTTCTTTTTGTAACAAAAGGCAGGGGCTTGTACATTCATTCAAATGAGAAGGAATACGCGAACAACATTGCCTTGAACATCATTTCATTCAACACAAAGATTCTTCAATATCCTTTACTTATGGAAATGGTTGCACAAATAATGCAGCAAATGTGAAACTCTGCTAGTCTCCGTAACGATGCCTGGTGGTCCAGAACAGACCGGTCAATCTAGAGTTACGGAGACTAGGATAGAAAGTTTGTGTTACCTTGTAGCGGTTAACGAGGTTCTTCCACTTGCACTTGCACTGCTTGGCGGTTCGTCGGTAGCCCCGCTCACGGAGCCGCGCGGCGACGGCCTCCCACATCGTCTTCGCGCTGCGGCGCGCCGCGATGGTCTCCCGCTCCATCTCCCCGCGCGCCACGATCAGCTCCCGCGTCTCCTGCGCGCCCCACTGCGGCACCCTCTCGTCCCTTCCTCCCGCTCCCGCGCCTCCCGCCTCCATCATCTCGCCGCCCCTCCTGCCCTCGTCTCCTCAGCGCGACTTGCCCAACGGCAACAATCCCTAACGACAGGCTGTAAACCGCGGCGAGGCAGCGGCGGCGGCAGGTGACTGCAGGCTGCAGGCTACCCCGCTTTCTTGCCTCGATTTGCTTGCTCGCCTCGCTTTTCTTCTTGCTTCTCGCCGCTGCCTGCCTCTGCCTGCCATTACTTTTCTGCCCATTCACACTGCTCGGTCTCAGAGAACGGGGCCTGCCGCGTTCACACTAGCTGTCTCCCTGCACCCATTTCGATTTCTTTTTCTACTCCTTTTTCCAAGGAAAAAAGGGAAATTAACGTTGTTCATTAATACAAGTGGGCTTTTAGCTGGACTGGACTGGTCCGTACCGGGCGCAGTGCCGCCCACCCACTTGCTTCACCAAGAGCAGAAGACGAGATAATAATATTCCCTTCCCTGTCAAAACAAACAATCCAGTGCGCTAATGCACTCCCAAGAAACAACAATGCAGGGCCCAGATCAGCAGCAGCTGTTGGAAGATCATCCATGGACAATGGGCACAACTTTGCACGACAGCAAGGGCTGAAATTTCATCGGTTTCAAAAAAAGAAAGAGCTGGAATCTTATTCAAGACAATATGGGATGGACAATATAAATTTGTTCTTACATCAGACTAGGGCTAGCTTGCTACTGTTCACACTAGCTGTTCGGCTTATAAGCCTTAGCTTATCAACCAACGAACAGTATTTTTCTCTCACACTAAACCAGCCAGCGGTACTTTCAGCCGTGGCTTACAAGCCAATCCAGCCGAAACGAACAGGCTGGAAGCTGGTCATCAGGCGGTGGCTTCTGTAGAGAGGCACATGGCGCTTTGTACAGGCTAGGGAAGTTGGAGCTTCCACTCCAAGGTCATGGCAATGTTTATAGCCTTCAGCTGACCAGTAAGTTTCACGTTTTCACCTCAAAATGCCAAGACTGAAGCACCGTTCTTCAGACCAAATGAGAGCAACTGAAACACCGTTCTTGACTGTCACCACGAGTTATTGCAGGAGAGCTTCCTACCCGGGAACAGTTAGCTGCTTCAAGTGCAAGAGAAACAAAGTTGTGGTTGTAGCTTATAGGGGTGTGCGTGTGTGTGGTGGTGTGAGTGTGTTGTGTAGAGTACAGATACTACAACTTGTACACTAGGAGTCCAGGGCTCAAAAAAAAAAAAAAAAAGAGAGAGAGAAACAAAGTTGCCGATGGCTCATCACTTCCCAAAAAATAGCTCCTTCAAAGTAGTCAAGGGCGAGCTGTTGCCATAGGCAATGGTATCTCTCCATAGAGTAAATCCTAGCAAGCAATAAAAAAGTGACATGTACAGTCAGAAAGACAATCTAGCACACTTGCAGAGCGACAAAAAATTTCAGTTCTGTATTAGTTCTGAAACGCTGTGCTCTTCACAAAAATGCTGCAACTCTGAAATGCTTGTGCTCCTCACAAAATTGCCAAAATGAAATGTTTCTGCTAAAGACATTTATATTCGGAAAGAAACAAACTAGATATTGCAAAGAGAGAAGACCTAGCCATAGAAGCAGACCAGCTGATGTTGCAAAGTAAAATTCTCGGCTGATGCTATTAAAGCTGGAACAAAAAAAAGGGTTAATTGTCTTGTATGAATCGTATAGGATAAATACAGAAGTAAGGGATATCACAGCTATGAGAAATACATTACCAGTACATGCATGTCAGGTTACCCCAACCCTGTAGGACGCATGCCCAAGCAGAACCAGTGAACCTAGATTCATGAAAATAACTATGATTAAGGGACGACAGGAATTGTAATACAGCAGATAAGAATGGCATTGGTTTGACTATATTATTGAGTATGAATAAATACATCTTTTATATATGCAACAAAAATAAATTCAAACTTCCATGAAAGTAAGGTATTCCATCAGCCTCAGTTTATAAAATAATGGGCATCTTATTCTGTTTTTCAAACCCTTTCATGATTAGTTAATGAACATGATTTAGAAGGAGGTTTCCTGTAAAGCTTCATGCACGGAAATGCCTAGGGAAGTGATATTTTCCTATGATCTCATCCCATCTACAATAGGCATTTCCAGTAGGAGTTAGATACTTCCCATCATGATTTCTCGAACAGTTGGTCTGGAATCACAAAAAGGAATCAGGCAATATGGAATAAAAAAATCCAATACCACATCAAATCGCGGATGAATACTGCACGAGGAAGCATAAGTCCGTTTCCAAGCATTGCGAGCAACATGCTGAAAGCTGACAACCCTTTGATGTTGCTTGGGTTAAGGTAATTTGTCCACTGCAGAACCCAACAAACAAATTGCATTTTAGTGCATCAGCATTATGTGATCATAAGTTTCCACTGGTACAAGTGTGAAAGCTTGAATACCATCTGTGCCACTGGCATCCACATGAAGAGAAGCGTGGCTGTCCAACCAGATAATGACCCAACAAATTTAACCCCTGCATCAGAAAGCTTGCCCATCCTTGCCTGAAACCAAAAAGGAAAAAGTAATCAAAAGCTACCATAAGCTAGGAATGAGGGCATTAAATGAAGGAACCATGCGATGTGAATACAACCTACTTTTAGTGCTCGATTGATAAGTTGGTAAGTATGCCCTAAAATAGAAATATATCAGCACAAATGGAAAAAGATAAAGTAGACTTTCCATGTTTTGTGTTCTCATATTGATAATCTCTTGCATGTCTTATTAAACAAGTTCTCTTACCAGCAACCAAAGCTACTTATAATGTGCGCAAATCAAACAAACAGACTGAAATTACATCCTATGCATAATTAAATGAGGGTTCATAAAGAAAAACACTATGTATAATTAAATCCAACCAAACATGAACTTAAACCCCCCAAGCACTTAAAATAAGAATAACATCCTATTACATAACCGGACTTCATTATTGCTCACACGATTACTTAGAACAATATCTCTCCTAATAAGTAGGCTGCTTTAGAACCTGACATCAAGCATGGTCAACTAATTTGGTACAAGCAAATGATAAAAGGTTGCTTCAGTCACCTTTGAGTCATAAAGACAATACATTTTTTAGCTTTCCAGTTTTACTTGAGGCATTCAGATGATATCAGAGTTAATAAACAGAAATTGCTTAATGCAAGATAATATAATGCGTCATACCATCCCAACAGCTGCAACAGCCAAAGAACCACAGATTATGCCAGGCAGTACGCTATTGGGGATGAAGGGAACAAATGTTGACCACATGACCTGCATTTCAAATGACCGAACAGAGATAGCCAGAAGAGAAAGAATCAAATGACGTCAGCTGATCAGCACTGTACAAAACAGCAGAAGGAGCTGAATTTGTAAGATGGCAAAGCAAAAACAGTCATTTTCACCTGAGGGAGCACGGCAAGGCCGCCTACTGTGATGAAATCCTCCCACAGCAGCCAGAGGGTTCCAGGGAGCCAGCCAACGTAATTGAGGAAGTTCAGGATGAGCCCTGCGGCCACAACGACTGAAGTGGCCACGAACTGCGGCACCGGCATGGATTCCGCCATGGCGAGCTGCACGAGGACCGCATAGGTGGAGATGACGCCAAGAGTCTGCACGATTACCGCCTCCGTCTCTCTCTTCTTGGCGAAATAGGAGAGGAGCGAGAGGTTGCCCAGCAGCCCAGTGAGCATTCCCTGAAGCGTGCGATCAAATCCGTCAAAACGAGCGTCACAGCAGACACAGAGGAGGTGGAATCTGAGACGCAAATTGGGGGGCGTACGAGCCACGGCACAGCGAAAAGCGCGGTCTTGTTGCCGGCGAGGAGGTTGCGGGCGTTGAGGACGATCTGCGGGAGCTGGAGCAGTAGGAAGGGGATGTTGGCCGCGCCGGCGAACTTGGCCGTCACGGAGTCCCACTCCTGGTACTTCTTCGGGTCCTGCGCGGCAACCCAAGCCAAGCCAAGCAGTCCGAGGCAAGGCAATCGATCAATCAATCGATCACGCGACATCCGCCGCCAATGCCGGGAGAGAAGAGAGACCGAAGGTACCTTGAGAACCGGCTTGGAGGTGATGGTCGCGGCGGCGGGGGGCGGGCCATGCCGGCGCCGCTGGTGGAGGAGGAGCGCGTGCTGGTGGTACGGCGCGGGCGCCTTGGACGCGAGGGGTTTTAGGAGGAGGGCGCGGGGCGCGGCCGCGTTGGGGGAGACTCCGGCGAGAGCGCGGCGGGAGAGGGGCGGGTACGCCGGGCGGAGCGGGAGGCGGAGGCTGGGCACCGACGGCGACGACATGGCCGGTGGCTGAGGGATGATGGGTGGTGGATCGGTGGGGGCGGCGAGACGCTTCACGAGCGAGCGAGCGAGTGAAGTAGCGGTGGGATCACCGGGATGTGAGGACGGGAAGGGCGCGGGGGACACGCGCGTGCTCGGGATCCGATGGACCCGGGACACGCCCCCGCCCGCGGTGCGGTGGGGTGGGGTGGGGTGCGGGTGACGTCGCCGTGCCGTTACGTGCCCGTCTGTCCGTTCCAAGTGGAGGTGGCTAGTGGCTTCCCTTTCTATCGCCTCGGTTCGTGGAAACCGGTCGTGGGCCGAGCCGGATTTCCTTCTCGATATCGCGTTGAGAGGCCTGCTTTGTGCTTTTGGTTTAGGTTGCTTGGCCCATTAGGACATTACTCGTGAGGCTGTGACCACGCCATATCCCCTCGGCCTCGGGCCCGTGGTGTGTTGTCGTAGGGCCCGCCACCGCACATGGAGACGGACAAAGCTCGCCGCGGCACCGCGAGGAATCAGGGAGTCAGGACTCAGGAGAAGGAACGTCTACTGCTCGTCACCGACATGCACTTGGATCACTGCGCCTCTGGCCCTCTGCTAAAGCACGTCCCAGCCTTCATCTTCATGTCGTCGTGTGCCTGTGAATTGTCTTTTCAGTTTTCATTCACCTCTTTTGTTTTTCCCCGGGCATTGCACGCGAATTGGACCATGTTGTCTGAGCGGCTCAAAGTGTTTCATATGGTACTTGGCACTTGGAACTGCTCAAACGCATCACAGACTCCCAGTCTTCCTCTTGATGGTCACTGTACTGTACATGCCGTCACTTGCGATTGCCATTTGTGCTGGCGCCTTCTTGCCTCTTTGTTTCTTTGTTTCTTTAGTTCCTCCTTCTAAAGTTTACTTTCTCTCCCATTGAATGTTTGACACATACATAGAGTATTAAATATAGACTAAAAAATAACTAATTACACAGTTTGCGACTAATTTATCATACGAATCTTTTAAGCCTAATTAGTCCATAATTTGACAACGTGTTGCTACAGTAACACATGTGCTAATGCCGGATTAATTATGCTTAATAAATTCGTCTCGCGGATTACTGACAGATTCTATAATTTGTTTTTTTATTAGTCCAAACACTCCATACGACATCCTCGTATAACACTGCAAAATTTTACGCCCTGAATTGAGGCCTTATCCAGCATTGCATTTGAATTGGACCGTGTTGCCTCAAGCCCTCAACCGCCGCTCAAAGTGTCTTGTCACGTCAGAGCCAGGCCGGAGATGACCACGGGTATTGTGGTGGGCAGTGGGCAGTGGGCAGAAGCACAAACCTCAGCCCTCAGGTAAGCAGAGCTAAGCATGCTTGGTCGGTGAAGAGGACAAAGTGTTTGGATGCTACCTCGCCACGCGACACAAGCGAGCAGCTGGCTCTTCACGTGTGCACATACCTCCCTTTCCCTCTAAATCGGCTTCACTCGTCCCCTCTAGGCCTCTACACTCTCCGGATGCCAACCATTACCGTCGCAGAATCTCATCTGACGAGTACGAGGAGATGCTATACGTACTGCAGTGGTTCACCGCTCGCTCACTGCCAGCCACAGTTCTGCATTGCTCGAGTGCATGACGACTGCATTGCTCGAGTGCATGATCGGATCCTCCAGTGATCTGATTCTGACGCTCAAAGAATCCTTTCCCTTTGCAGGTAGGTGGATCGATAGCTGGAGGCATTAAAGCGGACGATGACGCGTTGCTGCAATCTTGCAGATTGCTACTGCTGCAGCAGGGCAGCAGAGCCATCCATCCACAGATACCTTGCTTGATGCCAAGCCACCGGCATTGTCGGCACCCTGCCCTCCGCTCCCCTTCCTCGGTTCGCTTTCTTCCTCTTCCTCCCTCGTCCAGTCATCTGCTGCTATTTATGCCACTCCCAGCCGCGGTGGAAACGGCCAGTGTCAGCGTCTCACCCTGAGGCCGCGCAGAGCCACTGCTTGCGCTCTCTCGCTGTCTCACACCAGACTACCAGAGCCCTTCCACCTCCACCTTGCACTGGCCGTTCCTTCCCTTCCGGGTCTTGGAGCGTGAGATCTTGCCTCGCGGAATGGCGGCGTCCCGGGCATGGCTGGCCCGTGCGACGGCGGCGGCGGTGCTGGGTTTCGTACTGGTGGTGGCGTCAGCTGAGGCGGCATCGGGGGACGTGGAGATGGTGTTCCTCAAGGCCGCGGTGGCCAAAGGAGCAGGTGCATGCTCTGCACTGCCGCTTCATCTCCATCTCCCCCCCTTTTCTTTACCTCTCTACCTGATTCATTTTGCAGTGTGCTTGGACGGCAGCCCACCGGTATACCACTTCTCTCCCGGCTCTGGTTCTGGCGCCGATAACTGGGTGGTTCACATGGAGGTATGTATTTGAATTTGACTAAGCTAATGACATTCAAAATTGCATACTGCCGGCAGTCCAACGTTTTCTCTCGAGAGAAATAAATCAACCGAATTTCGTTTCTGTCTTTGGAAGGGAGGAGGGTGGTGCAGGAATCCTGATGAGTGTGCAGTCCGGAAGGGCAACTTCAGGGGCTCCTCCAAATTTATGAGGCCACTCTCGTTTTCAGGGATATTAGGCGGCAGCCAAAAATCCAATCCTGGTATGTCATTTGTTTTTTCTCCCTTGCACCATTCCTCACACTAAGATCATCAAGAAAAAAAAGTGCGTTGACATTTACATTTGAAAAGGGTAAATGTAGAGGGTGTTCTCTAATTTTTTTTTTATTTCTGCTAGAAGTGTACTATTAGCAATAATGCCATCTCTGATGGCCCTTAAAACTCAAGACAGGTACCAGTGTAAAATTAACTAAGAGTGGCATTTCCTTACATGTGCATAGCACTCCTGAAAGCTGATGTTGTGATTTGTTGTAGTACAGACATATATAATGTAGCAATTTCTTCTGTTGCCTGCAGATTTCTTCAACTGGAATAGAGTAAAGATCAGATACTGTGATGGTTCATCATTTACTGGTGACGTTGAGACTGTGGACACTGTATGTTTTGAACTTATGGATTGTACTATCATTTTTGCAGAAAAAAAATGAGAATAGTACTATGTTTCAATTTAGGCGAAAAATCTCCATTACAGAGGGTTCAGAGTTTGGCGTGCCATCATCGATGATCTACTTACTGTGAGGGGAATGAACAAGGCAAAAAACGTATGTTCATTGCATTCAATTATTCAAAAGAAAAGAAAAACAAGGTTATGGATGCTTGATATTTAATTCAATTTCCACAACAGTGGGATTAAATTTTATATCCATGAAAGTATAGAAAGTTGGCATCATAATGTTTAGTCGTCAAACAAACCGAAAAGTTTGTTCCAACTACTAGGAACATAAACCGAACCTACACAAACTGCTGTCACGTTTGATTTTCATCCTGTTAGATATCCTTCACTTCCTGAATAATGCTATATGATCCTAGAAAAATGACCTATTACATCACCCGTATTACAGGCCCTTCTTTCTGGATGTTCAGCCGGAGGTCTAGCATCAATACTACATTGTGACACATTCGGTGATCTGTTTCCAGCGACAACAAAGGTCAAGTGTTTTTCTGATGCTGGATATTTTTTCGATGGGTAAGTTCTGCACTCTCAAATTGTTGGAGAACTGTCAGTACATTGTACATATCCTGCTAGGTAGCATGTTTTGTTTTCTCTTGGTTGTTACTACCTTATTTCCACCTACAGAGTCAGTCTAACATATCAATATACAGATAGACAGCTTTTTCAGTAGAACTGAGAACCATATTTTGTCATTGCAGGAAGGATATCTCTGGGAACTATTACGCCAGGTCAATCTATAAGAACGTTGTGAATCTACATGTACGTTTCTTTCTGATCATGAAATGGTTGTCATTAAAGTAATCTAATGTTTAAATTTGCAACTACCAATGTTCTTAATTCAGAATGTCCAAAGAGAATTGGTAGAAGGCAAAAAAAAAAAAAAAAAAAATTTCATCATTGGTTCTTTAATACAAGTTTGAAGCCTAATAATTTTCCAATATCTTTCAGGGATCAGCCAAAAATTTACCAGCTTCATGTACCTCAAAGCAATCACCTGAGTTGGTCAGTTTTGTTCACTTACCTCATCTGGTATGAAGCATAGCATTCAAACTAACTTTCAAAACAAACGCAGTGTATGTTCCCACAGTATGTAGTCCCGACCATGCGCACACCGTTGTTCATACTTAATGCAGCCTATGATTCGTGGCAGGTAATTTTCATATCTTCCACATTGCAAACTGTTTAAGATAAATTGTGCCAACTAATCTTAGCATAATGAAAAAATTACCAAGTTTGCGCCTGCATTGCCTACAGGTCAAGAACGTCCTAGCACCTAGTCCAGCTGATCCGAAGAAGGCTTGGGCCCAATGCAAACTTGATATCAAGAGCTGCTCCCCCAGCCAACTCACAACCTTGCAAAGTTAGTACTTTGGCAATTTGCATTCTCTATTTTAGCTGAGCAGGGCATAGCTCTCCTAAACAAGCCCTCAGTAGCATTGCCTATCTGATTCGTTTGATTCTTTTGGCACAGATTTCAGGACAGACTTTCTGGCAGCGCTTCCTACAACTCCATCTGTAGGCATGTTCATCGACTCATGCAATGCTCACTGCCAATCAGGATCCCAAGATACATGGCTAGCCGATGGTTCTCCCACGGTTAATAAGACGGTACGTCTACTCTAATCCTGCATCAGTTATGAGAGAATCGAGATACTGAACGGTTTATCTTGTTCTTCAAATTTCTAGTAGTCGTCGACAAATTCAGAAATCAGGAAAAAAAAATGAAACTTGTTCTGCTGTTCAGATTTGAAGCGTGATGTGTTTCTCTTTCTGCAGCAAATTGGCAAGGCAGTTGGGGATTGGTACTACGATAGGGAGGTCTCTCGGCAGATTGATTGCCCGTATCCCTGCAACCCAACTTGCAAGAACCGTGAGGATGACTGAGCAGCTGTATAAGTAGTTCAGTCAAATATATTGTGTTATTGAAGTGAAAACAATAAAGGGATCACACTGCGCCCGTAGTTGTAGATGATGAGTTATAAACACATATGAGCGTGAGCTCAAAGTTGATCAATCATCCTCTATTGAGGAATTAGGAAAATAATGAGAAACAAGTTGATCAATCATCAGCTTGAGCAGCTTCCAAGTTGAAAAACTGCGCCAATCAATGCAAGACCTACATCCAGAACGCCACAGAACTCTCACATCTAACCTTGGCACCAATCGATGTGACTTTATAAATCTGGGTTGCAAGTCGGCAGCGTACGGTCCGAGCAGGTTCCAAGTCGATTCGGCCTGGTCGCTTGGTCCTAGATGATCGTAAATTAATTTTTAGCTAGAACAATTTTTTTCTCTCACACTAAATTAACCAGCAGTAATAATTTATGATTGTATAGGATTATTTCAACCCCAGCTTATTCGGGAAGGGATTATTCTACCGATTCATCATAAATACATACTCCAGCACAGTTTATTTTATCTTGTTCTCTGTATATGAGCAGAGACACAGCAAGACAAGAAGACGTCGTAGTCCTCAACTCAGCCCGTGTTTAGTGGGCGGAAAGTTAAAAATTTGGTTACGGTAGCACTTTTGTTTTTATTTGGCAATTAGTGTTCAATCATGGATTAATTATGCTCAAAACGTTCGTCTCGCAATTTTCAACCAAACTGTGCAATTAGTTTTTTTTCGTCTACATTTAATGCTCCATGCACGTATCGCAAGATTCGATGTGATGGCTACTGTAGCACTTTTTTTAGAAAAGTTTTCACGAACTAAACAAGGGCGAAGAGAAGCAATCAAATCAGGCATGTCAAAGCGGCGCAGAGATCACAGCACGAGGGACTTGTCTGGTACTGCTAGTACACCAAAGCGGGCTTTCTCGGGGGCGCTGCTCAGCCTGCTCTGCGCCTCTGCCGGCCAAGCGGCCGGCGGCGCAGCAGCAGCAGCTACAGAAGAAATTTGGCCTGTTGGCTTGCGCTGAAATTACGATGCTTACCCTGAAATAGTGCGAGAAAAAAAATATTCTATAGCTGAAAAGTAGCTCAAGTGAACAGGGCCGAAGTATCTCCGCCTTGTGGTGAACGACTGGGACAGGGGCTACACCATCTATAGGGCGGGCGAGGACGGCTTTAGCAGCGACGTCGACGTCGACCCCGACCCGGACGCGCCATGGCCTGCTGCGTCCCTGCTTGTCCGCATAGTGGCACAACATGCTTATTCGTGGTCCTTCGCCGCCCACGTCACCGGGATCTTGGCGATGTATCCCGTAGAATCCAGTCGCGGCATCCCCGCGTTTGACACCGAGGCACTGGCGATGACGGTGTGCCCATCCCCAATGAGCCATGGGGATTGTGGCAAACCTTTGTACGCCTCCGCTGGCGGCAGGCTCTGGACGTTCGTCTACCCCATCCTAGAGGTGCTGGGGCCAGAACCACCAGCCATGGAGAAGTTGTGGTCATGGGCCAGCGTCAAGTCGATGCCGCCATTTGACTCCTCTCGTGTCAGCAACTATGCGGTGCACCCGGACGGGCATACCATCTTTGTGTCTGTCAGAGGCTACAAGCTCAACCCTGGTTTGATCCTGCCCAATCATGGTGACCTTAGCAGCACCTTCACCTTTGACGTGGAGAGCCTCGAGTGGACCCACGTCGGCGGTTGGATCTTGCCGTTAAGAGGCCAAGCGTACTATGACCATGAGCTAGACGTTTGGGTTGGGCTCTGTATCCACAATGAAGGCACCGGGCATGTGTGCTGCTCTAACGTCCCACCCGCAACTGGTTGCGCAACCATGCCAGCCTAGAAGCTCGACGTGGAAGTGTTCTTTGACAAGAGCTTGGAGAGGCATAGGGGTGCCACGTTGGTGTACATGGACAATAGCAGGTTCTGCTTGGTAGAGTCCCAGATGTCCAAGGATGATGACTTTTACCCGCGCCTCCGTGTGGTGAAGATGACCTCCTTCCTGCTCAAGTACGGCAAGGAGGGTGAGCTGCGGGTTACCGGACGTTGCACCTATGCATCCATGGACTACCAGATCCCTCATGAACATGTTGATCGGTCCCTAGATCATGTAGCCTTCTAGGTGTAGCGAGGCCTTGCCTTGATGGATTTGAAAATTCTTCCAAAGTGCTAAGTACTCCTAGGTTGTTGGGTTGTGACTTGTGATGTAGGGTTGCCGCTGTTTTGGTCTATTGTCGGTGTTTTGTAAACTGGATTAGTAAATTTATACGATTGTCGCGCTGCTCTAGGAAGACGATGACAGTATCCAATAGACACGAAGATTTATACTGGTTCAGGCTGGAGCCCTATGTCCAGTCTCAGAGAAGATCGAGTGCGCGCTCCTCGCTTGAATACTCTAAAGTTCTTACAATGGGGGTGCAATAATGGTGAAAGAGGTGATAGAACCTATGCTAGACGAGGGGTAGCCCGAAGAGAAGCTCCAAGAGCGCTACTGCTATGGATGGAATGGTAGAGGATGAAGAATGCCTAGATATCCTGAGATGGGTGCCCTAGCCACCCTTATATAGAGTTCGGGGCTAGGGCTCGTTACAAAGAGAAGGTTTCACCGACCGAAGGGTCGAGAGCCTGAGAGAGGTCTTAGCTAGCTTGGCTTGCAAGCTACGCCATCTTCTGGTGTCCGTCCAGATGTGGCTATCGTCATGGTCTTGTGACCACGTCACGACAAGGTCTGACGTGGTGCTACTATGCTAGCCGTGGCAGCACTGTAGCCACGATTGAAAGCATCTAGGCCCCTAGTTGGGTTTCGGTGATTAATGACGACACAAGATTACTGTGACTAACATGTGTTTTGCAGAGGCAATTTGAGTTAGGTCATGGTAATGATGATCATTTGGGCAATTATGATTTTTCATGCCCCTGTCGATGAAAATCGTTTTAGTTTTTAAAGGATGGACGACAAGGTTAAGGACGGACATGTTCTAAGTGTCATTTGGCGTTGGAGAGACACTTAGAGTAGTCTAGGACTTTGTTTTTTCTTTGGTCGTACTATTAAGGGGGGTATGAACTAGTAGCTTGACCTAGGTGAGTCTAATGGGTTAGGTGTGGTGCACACTTATCAAACCTAGCACTAGGTAGCTCAGGAATAGCCCAAAGATCAAATGGAGTCAAGCTCATTCACAAAGGATTTTGAATTGAAACTGAATGGAGGGTCAAAATGTTGACCGAACATTGGTTTGGTGATGACCGAACTCACCGGTGTTGCATCTGGTCAGTGATCAGCACGCGCAGCAGAAGCCGAGGAGCTACCGGACGTTACATAGTGATTAGAACCGGACGTGCCTCTAGTCGTATCTGTAGCAGTGGGGCTGCGCTGTCAGGGAGGATCTGAGGCTAAACAGTAAACGACCGGACTCTGAGCTTGCAGCGTTAGGTCAACATCAGAGAGGGTCTAGAGACCAAAATTCCTGACCAGACGTGTCCGGTGGACGTTGACCGAATGCTGGTCAACGTCAGGTCACTCCAATGGCTGTCCCTGACAAAGTCGGCTAATTGTAGCTGTGGTGTACTGACCTGCATGTCCGGTCATGAGGACCTACGCGTCTGGTCACCTTGTGTTTTGCTGAGTTGGACAATAACGGTCATGTTTTGAATGGAGGAGTATAAATACTTTTCCTACTCGTCCAATTTAGGTCTCTTGCCCATTTATTTAGTTAAGGAAACCATTTGGTGTGCAAGGGAGAACAAGAGCCTAGTGGGGTGAATGAGATTTGCTAATCTAAGATTAAGGATCTCATTAGTGCATAGAGAGTAGCAAGTGTGCATCCACTATTCTCATTAGGCTTGGTTGGATCAAGTGAGAGTTCATGCTTGTTACTCTTGGTGATCGCCATCACCTAGACGGCTTGGTGGTGATTGGAAGCTTTGTGATCATCCGGAGGAGCTTGTGAATGACCCAAGTCATGATGTGAGCGGTTGTGGGTGATTCACCGTGACAGAGTGTCAAAGAATCAGCCTATAGAGAGCATTTGATCCTTGCACAGATCAAGGGGAGCTACACCCTTGCATGGGTGCTCCAACGAGAACTAGTGGGGAGTGGCGACTCTCTGATACCTCGAAAAAACATCGCCGTGATCCTCTCCTTCTCTTTACCTTGAGCATCTACATTTGAGTAATTCAATTTATGTCTTTACATTTTTAGAATTACCATGCTAGAGTAGGATTGGAACCTAGTGTGTAAAACTTTTGTGCGGTAGAATAATAGAAACACTTCTAGGCATAAGAGGGTGAAATAGGCTAAGTGTAGGGCTTAATTATTGCAAGAAATTTAGAATTAGCCCAATTCATCCCTCCCTCTTGGTCATCTTGATCCTTTCAATTGGTATCGGAGCCAAGTGCTCCTTAAATTAGGCTTAATCACCTAGAGTAAGATGTCCCACGGGGATGGACCCCCTCCTGTCTTTGAGGGAGATGATTTTCCTTATTAGAAAATTCACATGGAGACGTACCTAGAGGTTTTAGATGTTGGAGTGCTTAGAGCCGCCTCTCAAGGCTTCCCTAAACCTAAGGATCCCGCCAAACTTCAAGGTGATGAAGTTGACTACGAGAAGTGGAATGCAAAGGCTAGAAACACCTTTTTAGATGCCTTTGCAAGGATGTCTTTAACCGTGTGCGGAACCACAAAGACGTCCATTCACTATGGTTGGACATTTATGTGCTCCATGAGGGAACCAAGAGTGAGCATGAGGAACGCTATCACCTTATGATGAAGAAGCTTAATTCATTTGAAATGCTTCCTAGTGAAAGTGCTAATGAAATGTATTCACGCTTGAATGTTCTTGTAGATGAGGTCAATGGGCTTGGACTCACTCAAATGCAACCATCCGATGTTGTGAGAAAGATCTTGAGTGTCCTCCCCATTGACAAGTATGTGCATATCGTGATGGTGCTTCATCAAGGTGATCTTTCCACCGCTACGCCAACTCAAATATTAGAAAAGATCAATGCATATGAGATATATATGCACATCACTCCACAAGATGGCTCTTCTTCCACCAAGAAGAAAGATTTGGCATTCAAGGCTAGCCAAGAGAAGAGGGGCAAAGCAAAAGTTGATCATGATAGCTCAAGTGATGATAAGATTGATGATGCAAGCCTTGCTCTCATGGTAAGAAGAACCACCAAGATGCTCAAGAAGCAAAACAAGAATGGTGTCAAGTTTGATGGCAAGAAGAAGAAATTCTTCACTAGTAGTATAAGGAAGCCCATCTTCGAAATGGATTGCTACAATTATGAATATCTTGGTCATCTAGCTCATCAATGCCCCAAACCCAAGAAAAACAAGTATAAGAAGTACAAGGGCAAGAAAGATGACTCAAGTGATGATGATGATGAGAAGAAGAAGAACAAGCCATACAAGAAGAAAGATGGCAAGAAGGAATTTTATAATAAGAAGAAGAATGGCAAGGCCTATATTGTTGGTGATTGGCTCACGGATATTGAATCATAAAGTGGCTCATCCGATGATGAAAGTGAAAATGAGAAGGAGAAGGTGATCGCTCTTGTGATTGGTTCTTCATTATCTCCATCGACACCACCGTCATCATCCTCTATACATCTATGCCTCATGGCTAAGGGTGAACAAAAGGTATAAAATGATAATGATAGTAATGGTGATGACAATGCTAGTGATGATAAGAATGGTAGTGATAGTGATAAAGAATTTGAATCACCTTCTTATGATGATCTTGTCAAATTGTTAAACCAATACACTAAAATCATTAGAAAGACAAGAGCCAAAAATGAGAAACTAGAACTTAAGAATGACTCACTTTGAGCAAAGTATGACATAGCTGAAAAAGCTAATGATGAGCTTAAAGAAGAGAATAAAATTGTGTCATCCAAACTCAAGGAGCTCAAAACCTCTAAAGAGAGCTTAGAGAAAAATATGACAAACTTGAGGGGATACACAATGAACTCACCACTATCTACAACTTGTTAAAAGAAGAATACACCAATCTCAAGATTAATCATGACAATCTTGTTCTTTCTCATGAGTTACTGTCCAATGAGCCACATGATGCTACTAACAACGTTGTTAAGATTGATATAGCCACATCATGTGATGACTTGATTGTTGAGAGCATTGAGCAAGGTTCTAGTAGCAAAGGCAAGAAAGTGGTTGAATCCGACAACTATGTTGATTATGTAAAGCTCAAGAATGAAAATGAAAAGGTCAAGAAGGATCTTGAAAAGCTATCAATCACCAACACAATTGTGATAGAGAATCTTGACAATGATCATGATATGGCTCTTGAGAATGAGATGCTTAGAGAAGAGAACAAGAGACTCAAGATGGAGAAGAATCATGATGAACTTAGAGAAGAAAACAAGAAACTCGAGTTGGAGAAAGAACATCTCAAGACTGGTTTGAGCAAGTTCACAAGAGGCAGATATCTCTAAAGTGAGCTACTTATGAACACCATAATGAAGATGGATAGAAGTGGTATTGGGTTCTTGGCAAATCAAGAGAAGAAAGCTCAAGCTCAACATCAACAACAATACAAGTCAAAGCCTAAGCCAAAGAGATGCTTTGAGTGTGGACAAGAAGGTCACTTTGCTCATGAGTGTGAAACTCCACCACCACAACCCTTGCCCAAGCATGCTAGACCATTTGTCTTCAATGCTCACTATATGCTTAGAAAAGATTCTAGTGAAACGATGAAAGTCATATTCTTAGGTCCACCCAACAAGAATAGGCCTAAGCAAATTTGGGTTGCTAAGTCACTAGTTGAGAAAGTCAAGGGCCCTCACCAAGTTTGGGTCCCTAAACAACAAGCTTGATCTCTTGTGTGTGTAGGTGAACTCCAAGACCGGTAGAAGTCATTGGGTTATTGATGGTGGTTGCACTCAACATATGACCGATGATCCTCGTATGTTCACCTCACTAGATGAACAAGTAGATGGTCAAGAAAGGATTACTTTTGGTGATAATTCAAAGGGCAAAGTACAAGGTTTAGGCAAAGTTGCAATATCAAATGATCACTCAATATCAAATATGCTATATGTTGCATCATTGAGCTTCAACTTGCTATCCGTTGGTCAATTGTATGATCTTGGGTTTCA